GAATTTAATACGCGTTTTGCAAAATAATCGTTGAGGTCGTTATCAATCATAAAATGTTGATTTAAATTAATCACATGCCTTAATTTATGGAATATTGTAATATTTTTAACAATATTGTCAATTTTTTAGTGACTATAAAACTTGAAGGGAGACTAGAGGCGACCATTTCATCAGACAGGTATTAGATATTACACTCGCCTTATACCTCTAGAGAATTCATTCAACAAATCGTTACCCTCCTAGATCATTGAGCATCTAATGGCAGTCTTCGCGAACCACTCCAAAACCATCTTTTAACTAAAGGATACTTAGCGTGTACGTCACACTAACACCTAAACAAACTCCTTACTTGTAATGTTAGGTGCCACTTATAGGTTGATGAAAACCAAAATAATGTTCATTATCACCTATTTAGATTAGGGTTTCCTTCAAAAGGAGTGGTGGAATCGGGCATTAGACACTAACAATCTTATATCTGATACTATAATATAGTAAAGCTAAAGAGTTGGTTTGTTTGAACGCAGTTATCTCAGGAACTACTGGTCCGATTTGAACAAATACTTTTGTGTTAGATAGCCCATTTATCGAGGAAGGCTGTAGGCTAAAACATCACGCAATGATCAATAGCCGCCGAGCCGAAATCACGTGGAAGTAGCTCGTTATACATAATTCTCATCTTAGCTTAGCAACAGCACTTTAAAATCAACTAAAATCGCGGGTTACTCACATGAGAGAAAAGCTCTACTAGTTTCGAACCACAGAGGGGTTCTTCCTCATGAGCTATGCGACATCGCCGCGACAGCGCACGCTGCTCATATATTATATTCACGTGAGTAACCCGCGATTTTAGTTTATTTATTATGTCTCACGATAGTTATTATAAAAAGACAGCACTATAAAAGTTTAAATTTTCATAAACCCAGCACTGTATATCTGAAAATGAAATGCCACCAATCTATATATAGGAGATTGATGTCGGTCAGTTTCAAGCCATTGTGTTATTCGACAAAAATATTTATTGTTATTTGTTTATTCTGTATATACGAATATAATATTATAGACAGTAACGGCAATATAGGCTTCAATGTTTTGTTCGATAGTTTTTGTTCGAGTACGTCCTATATTTACTTTACTGATGCTTTCAATATAAGTTCATTTTGCATTTGGTTTTTATATATATATGATCTTTATTTTTTATAACAGAAGTATCAATATTGTTTGTGATTAATTATTGGATGTAGGTCTCCCCGTGGCCGTTTCTTTCTTATTTTTTCTTTCGTTTGGGAATCTGGGACTTATCAAATGCTACATGATTAATAATTTGTATAACAATATTATCGTGTTGTGTGTTTGTTACATAAATACCTTCTTAAATACTAATTCTATTACTATCTCACAATAATTATTGAGGTTCTTGTAAAAAAGAGAATAATAATTTTTTCCTAAAATTAAATAATGTTTTTATTCAAGCGATATTTTCGAATAATAAATTTTTTATGTGGTATCCTAGTCGATAGAATTTTTGGCATAAAATTATCAAAATAATTATTATGACCTTTTGCTATAATTATGTTAACAATCATAAAGCTTAAAGCCCTTTCCAAATATTTTTTCTTTTTAATAATTTGTTTAAAAATTTCGTTTTAACTTAAGGTTATTTTACTATATAAGATGTGTGTATATAATAATAATGTTTCATTTTAGTTCATTTATTGTAATTAATTTAATATTTTAAGATTTTTTAAGTATTTCTCTAAGTGTAACTTAGATAAATTTAAAATAATATTATTGTATCACTAAAATTGTAACTACTGTAAGTATTACTTTAAAAATAAAAGTCATAATTAATTTGGCATAATAATTATTCGTATAAAATAATATTTCGAATAAGTTTTTGTTTATAATAATTATTATTATTCGTGTGTGTATTAACGATAACGATGTTTGATTTATTTTGTTGTTACTATTTGTTTCATTAGGGTTTGTTTTGAAAAATGAATAAATGTTTGTTTATTAAAAATATTTTTAGATTTTTTACTGCATATTGACCTGTTTTTTCCAAAAGGAATGCTGTAGTATTACAATGTCTACAAAATATCACACATTAAAAAAAGACTGCCTCATTGGCCAATTGGTCAAATGTACGACTGCCGGGCAAGGGGTCTCGGGTTCGATTCCCGGGTCGGGCAAAGTATTAATAGGTTTGTAAAAACCTCAGTAGTAGCACAGAGTCTAGAAATGTGCCCGGTATATGGCAATAGGCTCACCCCCTATTACATGGGACTAATAACATAAATAGTGAAAAGTGAGTGTTACATTGTACCATGGCATTAAGTGAATTTTAGTGTCGTAATGTGCACCTCTGCCTACCCCTTCGAGGATAAAAGGCGTGATATTATGTTATGTTTAAAAATAGACTATCTAAATACAAGAATACGTCTACTTAATCAGTTTACATTGAATATTATAGATAATTTTTTCCTTGATTAATTTTGAAAATCCCGATAAGAGACAGTCAGAGATTTGTAGAAATGTGGCTTTATCTACGAGGCACCGGGTTCGATTCCAGTTTTTTAAATGCCTTTTTTATGTCTTATTTCAAAAAATAAATTATCTTTTTAAAGAATCATACTCATATCTATCAGTATCTATATCAACTTCAGTTCAAGGTGCTGTTATAATAATATATTAATAATAGGAACATTGAAATTAAAAAAAAATTCAGTATTCAGCATTATCCTAAGAAATAACTACTTTTACTTTTGCAAACAAAAGTCAGAGAGATGACAGCACGAGACAGGTATGGGAACAAACACCATTAGGTACATCCAATAACATTAAGTAACCGGGGCTCCGGCTCGACGTGCAGGAGTAGGAACGGGGTGGTTTTTAGTCAGTAAGAGTCTGACACGCCCTCCCGCCTCACCCAGGCGGGAGCAGTCATTCGATGATTTTCCCCCCTTAAAAAAAAAGACATACACTTTTATTCTTTTACTTAGTCTTCTTACTTACTTATTATATAGTGCTCATGAGGAAGAACCCCTCTGTGGTTCGAAACTAGTAGAGCTTTTCTCAGTATATTCACGTGAGTAACCCGCGATTTTACTTAATTTAGTTTCTATGTCTCACGATAGTTATTATAAAAACAACACGTTTATTGCCAAAATAATTATCTCTATACACAAACAATGATATAATTATGTTATAACATATAATTATTTGTGTCACAATGTTATCGTTTCCGAGTACAATGTCAGGGTTATCACAAATTATCAACTGCCATAATCTTCGACGAGAAAAATGGTCATTTTTATTAGCACTCCGTACAAACCTGAGCTTTTTGTCCTTTTCTTTTAATACTATTACGAAAGAGAGAAAATATCTGTTCACGTGAGACCCGATAGTGGTAAATAGTGTTTGTGTTTTGTGAATTTCATGGAGTTTTATATACGTTTAGTGTTATAGAAGTCGTCGTGGAAAAAGGTAGGTTTTTGGTGCAATTTTTCTCAAATATGTGTTAAGTGGGTTTTATTTGTTTTGTGTCTAGACTAGGAAATCAAATTAGAACATTTAAGTAGTTTTATATCGCAATCAGGACCAGTACTGCAGTCATTTTCGTTTTTTAAGTTTTAATATAGTAAGATATATTACATTTTTCGATATATTTTGCTAAGTAACATAAAAGAATTAATTAAAAAATCATGTGCCAAACGAAGTGTTTTAGAGTAAAACGTACCTAAGTATGAATATGCAGCTACTAAGAATCTAAGATATAATATTAATAGGTGTATAATAATATTGTGAAATCCCGTATCTATATATATAAAAATAAAACCCGTTTCCCGTTGTCACGCAATAGCTTGAGAACGGCTAGACCGATTTGGCTGACTTTTTTTTGTTGTGTTTATTATTGTCAGGAGAAAGTTCTTATGACAGAAAAAGTCCTGAAAATCCTACGGGAAAGGGAGAATACGGGATTGCGCGTACGAAGTCGCGGGCAGAAGCCAGTACTCTATGTATATGGTACAATGAGGTCGACATATCCATGTGGATAAAAACCCCCTTACTAAATAAAGATTAAAAAAAGGAAAGATATAATGTGCATGTGCATGAGGCATGATACGACATTAGTTTCGGCGTGTTAAATTATGAAATGCGTTATTGAATTTTAATGGAACGCCTATAAAACAAGAACTTCAATTAACGATATCAATAAGGTACTATACCTTCATACTCAGTTTAAATATTGGGGTAGATAATATTCGTTGTTTAAACTGAATTCTGTTATAAAATGGATACATACAATAACGCCTTTTATCCCTGAAGGGGTATGCAGAGGTGCACATTATGCCACTGTACAATGTAACACCCACTTGTCACTATTTATGTTATGAGTCCAATGTAATAGAGGGTGAGTCTATTGCCATATACCGGGCGCAATTCCAGACTCCGTCCTACTACTAAGATTTGTCCATCCAGAAATAATATTAATAATAATCTTTATTGATGATAAAATGAGCAAAATACAAAATATTATCTTAATAAGCGATGTAGACCTTATACAGTTAGATACCTGTACTAGGAAAGCCCTGTATCACAGGCGAGTAATGTATAAAATACATAGCAAAATCTAGTAGTACTTTAGTAATAATAAAGGGGATCCTTACTAATATTATAAATCGGAAAGTGAGTTTGTTTGTTTGTTTGTTCCACTTTCACGCCGTAACTACTAAACCGATTGCTTTGAATTTTTACAGACGTAAAGTTAGAAGTCTGGATTAAATAATAGGGTACTTTTTATCCCGGAAAAATTTGATATTCCCGAGGGAAAACTAAAGTATTGGTATAGATGGCGCTGTCTGTATTGGTATATGTCACATAGGCCACTTTTTATCCTTTTGTGACGCGAGCGAAGCCGCGGGTAAAAGCTAGTATTATATAATTCTAAATATAAGGTTGAAGTGTTTAATAATGTAGATTATTCCTTGCTGCAGGTCACCATGTCTTTAGTATCGCAAGCGTTCGAGTCGAGCAAGATTGTGCCCGATGTCATCCCGACACCGCCCTCTGGTAATATCGAGGTAACTACATACATACTTTATTATATTACATAACATTACACCTTTCATTTCTTTAACGGTTAGGCTGAGGCCCAGTATCTTCATCATCATTCAACCCCAAGTGTGGGAGAGCCAGGCTTCGGAATACAACGGCCTCACAGAACACTGATGTCAGACAACGCTTGCGTTGTGTTTCGTCGTGTGGGCGACGTTACGGGAGGCCCAATTACCCCATCCAAAATTTCCTCAATCCCCATCCCTAACAATCTTGGAATTCCTAACCCCAAAAGGCCGGCAACGCACTTGTAACTCCTCTGGTGTTTCGGGTGTGCATGGTCGGCGCTGATGGCTCACCATCAGATGATCCGTCAGCTCGTTTACCGTCTTGGGTTTATTTTCTGGGTTGGGCAAAGCATTATTGGATGTTTTTCGGTTTATTAATATCACAAAGTCTAGAATTGTGCCCGGTATATTGCAAAAGGCCCAGCCCTTATTATTGAGCGATACATTGTAGGTATACGTGTGTAGACATTAGTGTAGAATTTAGAAAATGGAACCCTAGCCTACTGACTAAATAGTAATATTAGTACTAAATAGTATATCTATGGTAGAACCCTAGATACTTACCTTTACACTATATTCTTTGATTCCGGTCCGTGTCTTCAAGTGTATTGGTCAGAATAAAACTATCTTACTAAAGTTAATACGATTTATTCTTATTAAAATTAACAACTAGAAGATGTAGAACTTCGGGAAATAAAATGTAGATTATATCAAGTATATTGTAAAATTATTTCGTGATATTTTTACCAGAAAGTTGATTACGTTTTACCATTATCCCGGGTAAAAATAAGATAAGACAGAATGCTATTAGGTATTACATCTTATGTAATATCGTCATATCGGTATGATTATGAAAAAAACATTAATTAAGACAAGTATGTAGGTATAATCTTTGTAAAATTAATGCTCCATATCACAATCCATCATAATAATATATTTTATCATTTTCATGAAAAAAACGGCATGTGTTTGTTTATGCAACATGTTAATAGTAAGTCTCGATAAATAAGTATTATTATTTAATTGTTATTTTTCTATCTTTATCTAAATAATAATTACATAATTATGATAGATTATTTCGTTTATATAATTAGTTGGCGATTAGTTGCCAATTTCTTATATTCAAGCTTGCTATTCCCCGACAGTAACCCAGATAGATACTACCTAGGTAGATACTACCTAGGTACATTAAAAAGGCACGTTAGAATGATGTCCTGTTTCATTGCTGTGCGTTTGCAAACTTACATTTTTACATACACATCATTTTATACATCATACCTACCAGACCTTTTTTTTGAGGGGGAAAGTCATCCAAAGACATCTCCCGCCCAGGTAAGGCGGGAGGGAGTATCAGACTCTTACTGACTAAAAACCACCCTGTTCCTACTCCTGCACGTCGAGCCTGCGACTCCTCGACGGCGCTCGACTAGATAAATTAATTAATTAATATTAGAAATGTTAAAGTTTGTGTGTGTGTGTGTGTTTATTACTCTTTCACGCAAACACGGCTGTAGGGATCGGGATGAAATTTGTAACACATAGGATACTTGTTACACGGAGGCTACACGGGAACGGGGGCAAAGCCGCTAATAGCAGCTTTGGTGCTATTCTATGGTCATTCATCATAACTTCCCGAGCGTACGGCGCGTCGCGTTCCGCGCGCGCCTCAAAGTGCCATCAGACCAACACAGATGGGGGCCCAATAGCCGATGCCGATTCAGAGTCGCGGAGAACCTAACGGGTAACCGGGGCTCCGGCTCGACGTGCAGGAGAAGGAACGGGGTGGTTTTTAGTCAGTAAGAGTCTGACACTCCCTCCCACCTCACCCAGGCGGGAGCAGTCATTCGATGATTTTCCCCCCTTCAAAAAAAAAACTTACTAATAGTTGTTATTTATATATTTAGCTGAAGTACCCGAGCGGTGCAGTGGCTTCCCAGGGTAACGAGCTGACTCCGACGCAGGTGAAGGACCAGCCCAGCGTCTCCTATGAAGCCGACCCCAGCGCCTTCTACACTCTCGTCTTTACCGGTAAGTCTGTTGTCCCTTATTTAATTTTCTTCTTGCGTCTAAGGAACTGTATATGCTCAGACTATTCTGAAACTTTCAATTCAAAAGATGGAAATGACATTTACAGAATATAGGTAGCCTCGCTGCACTGTCCAACCTTTACGATTTGGGGTTTCCTAATGGTGTTAAGAAGTTATGTTTTGGTTTTATGTATTTGTCTCCTTGTTTTAATTTCTAAATACAAAAGTAACTACCAACTATCTTGAAATGCTAGCAGCTATAAAAAATCACAAATAAATTTTATTATCGTTAGTTCGTTTTAGTTTGTTGATGAACAAAAGTGTCCGGTTTTTTCTTTATGGCGTAAGCCGGTAAACGAGCAGACGGATCACCTGATGGTAAGTAATCGGCGTCGCCCATGGACACCTGGAGCACCAGAGGCGTTACAAGTGTGTTACCGGCTTTTTGGGGATTAGAAGTTTGAGGATCGTTGGGGATTCAGGGATTGGGGAGATTGAGGAAGGGGAAGGTAATTGGGCCTCCGGTAACCTCACTCACGCGACGAAACAGAACGCAAGCGTTGCTTCACATCGGTTTTCTGTGAGGCCGTGGTATCACTCCGGTTGATCCGGCCCAAGCGTGCTGAAGCATGGCTCTCTCACATTTAAACAGCATGTCGCTTAGCTGGAGCTAAGAGATGGATATCTCAGTACAATTACCGCATATTACCTGGAAAGTACCAGCATCTACACAAATTCATTGAAATTCTTTCAGACCCCGACAATTACGACGGTCCTGAACCAGTGTACCGCGAGTGGCACCACTGGCTGGTTGGCAACATTCCCGGCAGTGACGTCAGCAAAGGGGAGGTACTCTCGGGCTACATCGGCTCCGGCCCACCAGAGGGCACTGGCATCCACAGATACGTCTACATCCTCTACAAACAGCCAGGCAAACTGGACTTTGATGAAAAGAGGCTGAATAACAAGTGAGTGACGTCATCAATTTGTTACTGGCAACTGATACGCATGAAAGATATAGTATTTTATGAGTTATTGAACATTACATTGCATTTATATTATGGTGATAATATAAAGTAATAATGTTTATAACTTTTCGTAAAAGTAGTGACGCTAATGTAGGTACGCGTGCGCCTGAGAATGTTATACCAGCAATGTGCAAAAATGGTAATTTACTGTCATCATTGTTCACGCCACGCCACCACGCCTTTTATCCCCAAAGGGATAGGCAGAGGTGCACATTATGCCACTGTACAATGTAACACCCACTTTTCACTATGTTATGAGTCCCATGTAACAGGGGTTGACCAATTACCATACATCGAGTATAAATTTTCTTGTTGACGAGTTGAAACCTTCTAAAAGAGCTCTAGCTTTTCTGGAAAAATATTGGGGAGTGAGGGACTTTGACATCCCCGGTTACCATTACCATCTTAAGTATAACTACCTACAATCCCAAACTCTATATTATCACTAAAACATTTATAGATATTGGTAATAGTGGACTGCCTCATTGGCCGAGTGGTCGCAAGTACGACAAGGTTCGATTCCCGGGTCGGGCAAGTATTACTGGGTTTTAAAAAAACCTCAGTATTAGTAGCACGAAGTCTGGAAATGTGCCCTGTATACGGCAATAGGCTCACCCCTATTACATGGGACTCATAACATAAATAGTGAAAAGTGGGTTACTTTACATACATTGTACAGTGTCAAAATGGTCACCTCTGCCTACCCCTTCTGGGATAAAAGGCGTGATGTTATGTTATGTATTTATAGATAATCTATGTTACCACCAGGTCCATCGACGGCCGTGCCGCCTTCTCCACGAAGAAGTTTGCAGAGAAGCACAACCTCGGAGCGCCTGTTGCTGGCAACTTCTACCGCGCGCAGTTTGACGACTTCGTCCCATTACTGTACAAGAGCCTAGGCGTATAAACTGATGTACAATGTAATATGTAAATATTTTATGGTCCTCTATTAAGTATATTTGTGTGTTGTGTTTTATGTGTGTTGTTTTATTTTAACTTAACTTACCTATTTAATTTTGCTGCCTACGAAGGTAAAGGTTCAAATATCGTCATCTCCTCTTTGGTAGTCTTATTACGTTTCGTTTATTACATAACATTATATAACATCACGCCTTTTATCCCCGAAGGGATAGGCAGAGGTGCACATAGAAGTAACACCCACTTTTCACTATTTATGTTATGAGTCCCATGTAATAGGGGGTGAGCCTATTGCCATATACCGGGCGCATTTCCAGACTCCGTGCTACTACTGAGATTTTTTAAAAAACCCAGTAATGCTTTGCCCGACCCGGGAATCGAACCCGAGACCCCTTGCCCGGCAGTCGCACTTGCGACCACTCGGCCAATGAGGCAGTTTCGTTTATTAAACTTTGTAAAACTATTATACTGACAATAAGGTAAATAAAAATCGACAATTTATAGAAGAATGTGTATTTTAAATTATTTATTTATGTATGGGTGAATCGGTGCTAATGACATTTATCAACGTTTCCTACTATATAGTTACCATTCAGTAACATAGTGGTGAAGATATGTACAGCTTGTTAGAAGAGAATTTGACGCGGTGACCTGGAACTATATTGCCTTGAACTGAATCCACTTCGGACTATAATAATAAAAGCCTTTATTCAGACAAAGTATTAACATTAAACAGTTTACAGTTGTGATTCTGGTGAGTCGTTGACACCGACAACTTCGTCTGTTTGCCCAGCTTTGGCAAATAAAACGAGAGATGACGACCAAAACCATGTCTCATAGCAATACGGCAAAAACAATAAAATAAAATACGGCAATAAAAAAGGTTTCAGACGTATTGCTATGAGAATTTTTTTTTGTCTGGTGTTTTTGTGGTCACATCAAACGCTACGCGGAAAATGTCTGATATTGAAATTTTCGATTTCAGGATAATCGTATCTATCGATTTGAGGCGGTTTTGGCCGTATTGCTATGAGACAAAAATTTTGGTCGTCATCTCTCGTACTAAAAGGCCTCCTCTTTCCACTCTGCTCAGTTTAGCTCTGTTCTAGTCCATGTTTTTCCTGCTATTGTTCTTATATCGTCTTCCCATCTTCTGAACTGTCTGCCTCGTTTTCTTTTTCTATTTCTAGGGTACCAAAACACTATGCTTTTGTTCCATTTTTCGGAGCCTCTTGTTGTATGACCTGTCCACTATATTCTATGAATAAATAATCATCCAGCCTCCCGTTTTTAAACTGGATAAAAATAACAAATATCAAAACCGATGTAGTCGTCGTGTACCAGGTTACCATAAGTACGATACTAGCGACCTCAATTAATTCCACTCTTTTTTACCAAACTGTACGTGAAAGTATTAATTTTGTGTATGTTTAGTGTAAGTGCTAATGAGGTAATGAAATAATACTTTTAGTAAGGGCCGATTTTCCAATGCCAGATAAATATTAATTCAGGAATAACTTTGAATTACTAAAAACTGTCAAATGTCACTTTTATTCTACAGATAAAAATGAAGTGATGTGTGAAAAATCGGCCCTCGGTATATAATTCATAGCAAATAACGAAAACAAAATGAAATAATTTATACTGCGTAACTAGGTACCTACATGTTTTTATTTTAATTTGCACCTACAAATTAATTATTAGTCAGTAAACTCACTATTTTAAGAATAACCAATTGTACAATCAATTTAGCACGTCTATACAGCACATTACTAATTACAAAACAATGACATTAACCCAACTTAATTCTGAGCTTTAAAAATGAACATTATGCAACTTAGGAATAAGATTAAATTCAGATTGAACATTGGTTGAGGAGCAGCGGACGCTGGTTCACCATCTCTAATAACTTCACCCTTCAATTGTCTATTCAGGATAGGCACATAGTCATCATATTCTGCTTGGAAGAAGTCACCAGCTATAGGATGCTCTAAGTTAAATTTCTTAGCGAAATCGGCAGCCGAGAATGACAATCGGTTTGCAGATGTCCTGTAATGAATACATGATTATTTATTCAAGACGATTATCATTCGTCAAGTATTTATGGTGCGAATATAGCTATTAAGTTATTTTGTCCAATCACAACACAGCTGTCAAATATTGACGTCCAGTTTAGCCAAACGCGACTTTAGCGCTTGTCTACAGAGAGAGTAGAAAACTAAATGTATGGGGATGACACTGACAATTGTGTCAAAATTTACGTCAATTCCATATAATTTGGTTTTCTATTCTACATGTAGACAAGCGCTAAATGGCATTTGGTTACAGCTGTATTGCTGTGTCACTAGCTAATACCCTATTGGACGAAAAACGACAGGTCTACACTAGTCCACCATCTGGTATACAAAAATATAGTAGCTGGTATTGAGAGGATTACCATGAGACATACTAAATTAATAAGACTATACGATTTACTTTCCCAACTCTTTGAGAAGGTTACTAGACTAGTTTCAAGTCATGATAGAGGCTCATAATCCTATAGCATACGAACATTGCTGCAGTTCACTGCTCTTGATAATGGGCTCCTCGTTCTCGTAGGTCGAATCTACTTGAATGACCTCTTCAAGCAATAGGGTAGATGATTATTTTTTATTTTAATGTCCGTCTGGTAGATTATTTTAAATCATTACACACGTGTTTTTTATTTTTTTACAGAAACGAATACTTTAGACGATACATTGATTTGAAATGTCGCGTGACGTCACTTCTATGTACATTTTATACGTAGAAATGACGTTTTAGCCCCCACTCCTAAACTTTGATTCGTTATATCTAAGTATGATTTTATTATGCAACAAAATAAAAAAATGCGTGTCTAATATATTTTCATTACCTGACGGACTAATTAGATTTTTAATTTTCATACCCTGTCATCATCCCTATTACAAATACGAAGACATATCGCTTAATTATTCGTATACGTCTCACGATAGCTAGGTACAATATAGTGATGTTGAAAATCTATGTGAGTACCAAGCACGAATTACTATCGCAATCGTAACGTAATAGTATCGAGTGCGTTCGGCGCTCTGATTGGCCGGCTTAAGTGAACCAACCAATCAGAACGCTTAACTCGCTCGATACTGTTACGATACGAATGCGATAGTTATTCGTGCTTGGCTCTCAGACCAAAATGATGGTCCTGGTTCCTTACACAATTTACGACGTATATTTACTAACCTATTCGAAGATACAGGAGCTCCTTTGAACTCCATCAACCCTGGTTGTTCGTATACTAGGAACACGTATCTATGCAGCCCTGTGCCATTTGGGGGACCAGCCCCCACATACTCCACGAGGGTCTCTCCTCTACTGGGGATGTAGATACCAGGGATGTTCACAACCAGCCAGTGTAGCCAGGAGCGGTACGTTGGGGCTTCTCGGGTTGGTGCATCAGGATCTAGGGAAATATATAAAGCTTCATAAGGTTTCAACACTTAGGTACTGTGGAATTAAGGACTGTTCAGAGTTTGCCATGATCTTAAAGCTGGACACGCGATTTAGGGATCGCAGTTAATGACATGACATGAGATGACTGCACGGTTGGCGCGGTGACTGGGCAACTGGCTGTAGCGGATTCGATTCCCGCACGGAACAACTCTGTGTGTGATCCACAAATTGTTATTTCGGATCTGGGTGTCATGTGTATGTGAAATTGTATGTGAAATTGTATGTTTGTAAACGCACCCACGATACAGGAGAAAATCCTATTGCGGGGCAACGTTTAAAAAAAAAATTGAAAGACAAAAGAAAGTTCAATCATTGAAATAAAGACTAACTACACAGTTAGCGCAGTGGCTGCGAAATGGGTCGTGAGTTCGATTCCCGCACAGAACTATTATTTCTACTACAAGTGTTATCTACAAATTGTTGTTCCGAGTCTGGGTGCGATGTGAATGACAAATTGTTTATTTTAAAAGAATGAGGGCCGCAACAATTAAAAAAAATATATCTTCTTAATCTTACCGATCATCATGAGAGTATAATATTTGGTCGTAGTGTAACTCCATAGTACCCATATAGGCGGGTTCCTAACTTCGCTTGGAGTCAGGATGTTGCCTTCTGCTGTCCTCACAAAGTTTTTGTTCACCTCAAACAGCACCTGAATAAAATATTTTTTGGTTAAAGGATTTCAATGATGATGGGAAGTTTGCATCGGCCCTTGACCAAACAACCGGTAGAATTCTAATGCATACAGGTTGACTTGGCGTTGATTGAAACGTATGATATTTCTGAAAATATTAGTACTAATACACGTTTACCTACTCAAGTATTGACAATAAATTATAAATAAAATCACTTAAATCTAACCAGTCATTTTTTATTTACATTTTATGTTTTTGTAGTTACATCGGGATTTTTTACACCAAAACCGAAAATGTTGAATATCTCAGAAACTAGTCACTATCGAACCAGGGCTACTTTTGTAGGAAATTAATTGTATTATCACCTCCCGAGAGGAATACGTTGAGATACAAGTCACCTTATAATATGTACCTAAGCATAAAAAGAGTAAAAACGTTTTTAAGAGGCAAATTCGGACATCTCTTATGGATAGACAGTCTGTCTGTGACGCTGTGTGTGTACGAAACTGTAAGAATTGTAAAAATTGTTAAAAATTTGTTGGTGACCATTTTAATTATTCGTGTAAGTGGTGCATCGTAAATCTATGAAGGCTATTGTCTTTGTTTCACATTAGTTTATTCTATTTGAAAATGTAACTATATTTGTGTCACTCTAGATCTAATATAAAAAGTAATCTGTGGAGAACGTAGTGGGTAACATATTTGCCAAGTATAATGTGTAAGCTGAATTATGTATATTTTGTAATATGTTACTGTTTGTTTTTCCTTAAATAAATAAATAAGCATAATAATATTCTTCTTCTTCAGATGCCCGTGACCGTCTTTCTAGATAAGACTATTAACTTCCTCTACATAAGAGAGTTTAACCCTATTGTTTTCTTATTGTTATTTTTTTCTTTTGGTTACACACTGTGTGTTCACCACTTTTCCTGTCTCAGATCTATAGAAACTAAATTTCAACAGGACTACTATAAATTCTATAAATGTGTCGTCTTTTTTACATAAATTATTATTAAAAAGAGTTTGTCATAAATCACCACATTTATAATTTTACATTTTAAAAACTTCGGCTTTGCAACTATTAGAAAGCGCTTTTGCTGTTGATGTCTGTTAAACTTATACACAGTCTCATAGTTGGCTTTTACAAATGGCAAATGTAAGTAATCTAGTCCGCCGTCATCACTAGGCGTAAATACATTCAAATGTGCAAAGAATTCAGTTTAAAGTCTTAGCTAAATGCTTTACAAATAGACTGCGTCGTAATGTGGTAATGCAGGCTAATTGTACAAGCAATAAAATGTTCAGAGATATCTTTTTTCGCATCATTTGTTTCCATGCGTCTCTTAGCTATATAATATAGCATTATGTAACATAACATCACTCCTTAGGTTCCCCGACATAGTAATTAGAGGTTATCTATTATAAAAAGTAAGAAAGGAAAACCATTTATTACGCCACGACACACAACAAGAATACAGGTACACAGTAGTCGCAGCGCAAAAGGATGGAGCTCAGCTTAATACGGACCTAACTGGGCTGATGCCGACACGAAGCCGCGGAGGACTTAACGGGTTACCGGGGCTCCGGCTCGACGTGCAGGAGTAGGAACGGGGTGGTATACTTAAACAAGTCTTTTGCGTTGCGTTTTTCTATCTACCCGATTGCGATAAACTCGAGAATTACTAAACGGATTTGTGTATCGTTTTCACTAACAGATTTGTGCTAATCATTTAATGACGGGAGAAATCCCGCCTTAGGTGCGGCTGTAGGGAGTGTTAGATTCTTACTGATGAAAAACCTCCCTGTTCCTAATACTTCTTGCGAGCCCCAGCAACCCTTTAAGTCTTCTGCGGCCACGTATCGGGCTTCAGTCATACTGGGCCCGATCTGTTGTGGTCTGATGGCTTTCTGAGACTGCGAGCGCATGTTCTGGGTTTTGAATCCGATATCTTCCTCAGTTCTACTTGCAACCTAATAACTAACTTGAACCTACTGATCTGCTTATCCAATTTGAGATTCGTGGGCATTCAGTACCTACTAAACGTAGCTAGCGAAGCTTAGAGTATCTAGTTGGGTACTTTAAGCTCTAACGAGTTCTTCATAAATGATTTTAATTTCAAGTTAAAATAAGACTGCCTCGTTGGCCCAGTGGTCGCAAGTCTCTGGTTCGATTCCTGGGTTGCACAAAGCATTACTGGGTTTTAAAAAAATTCTCAGTAGTAGCACGGAGTCTAGAATGGTGCCCGTGGTACGGTGGTATATGGCAATTGACTCACCATTACATGGGACTCATAACATAAATAGTGAAAAACTGAAAAGTGGGTGTTACCTTGTATATTGGCACCGTAATGTGCGCCTCTGCCGACCCCTTCGGGGATAAAAAGGCGTGATGTTATGTTATGGTAAAACAAGAACTTACATCTGCCCTTTCCGACGGGCCAACAGGTATCACATCAGGTACTAACTCATTGCTAATGAAAGAATAATTCACATTTCCTTTAACAAAATCGTTTACGATCGCAAATAAAACCACGCAACACCACCTCATCTTGATATCAACGCGCTAATGTGCGAAATGAGTCGAGATTATCTAAAAAGGTTATATTTATTTATACTTATTTGCTTAAATACTCGAAATTGTACATTATGTGTGCATGTTACGGCTCAAAGATAACAGCAATGATTTGCAAATTATGACTATCAGTGTGACTTTTCTCTTAGAAGGCTTTTTGACCTCGTCCTGAAATAGATTTCACTTAACTTGCTTGGCCATTTTGCTATTTGTCATAAATATTATTATGAGCTCAATTCGATGTGTATTACATTTCTGTTATACAATAGTTTATAATAATATGGTAACATAATGGCCAGGCCATGCATCATTGGAGAAAGACCAAGGTGAAAACTTTGTAAACTCTTCCACCCGCCAGTTATGTCCACTAATATCAGGACACGCTACTACGTGATACGAACTACACGCCACCAACCAAGTGCTACGGACTACGCGCGAGAAGCAAGCGCTACGAAACTACTCACTATGCATCAAGCGCTACGTACTACGCGCTACGAACCAAGTGCTACGTACTATGCGCTACGATTGCGGCTATAGTGTTCCACCCATAGATATAGTATAGAAGAATATTTCTGTGGTTCCACCACAACTTATGTGTAAAATTAGGGTTGCATGTAGGGTTAGAAAATTGACTCTTTGTAGTATCTGATTACTTTTTGATAATGACTGCCTCGTTGGCCGAGTGGTCGCAAGTGTGTCGAAGCCGGGCAAGAGGTCTCGGATTCGATTCCCGCAAAGTTTTACTGGGTTTTAAAAAAAAATCTCTGTAGTAGCACGGAGTCTGGAAATGTGCCCGGTATATGGCAATAAGCTCACCCCTATTACATGTCTGTATGCTGTGTGTGTCTAGCCCTTCGGGGTTAAAAAGGCGTAATGTTTTGTTATGTGTTATGTTATGTTTTTGATAGTGTGATCTATTACAGTTTCGTCTTGGTAACATTTTACATGAAATTGTTTTCTTGCGATTAAACTGAGTTGTAGAACCGGCGCGACTTGTTGCTCAGCAGATATATATTATGCAACGCAACGTACTAAATTATTTTTATTTGTTGAAAATGTTATTTACCACATGTTCCTAGGTATCATAACATGATAGTTCCTTCCTCTAGAATAAAAACAATTAACTACAAAATAAGACGGTTGTCGGATGCAAATCAGTCGTACCTACTATCGTCGTCAAAAGTATTTAATCTTTTAAAGATTCAGTGGGCTTACTCTTGAATCCAATTCCGATCGATCAAAATTGATATTATGAAATTTCGTACTCTTGAGTTGAACACTAGCACCCATTGCATCTGTATTGTGTGGATGTTTAATGAACTAAATGGTATTGAATTTGGTACTCTGAATGCTATTTTAATTGCTACGATTGTGGTTGTATAGTGTTGACATTGAGTAATTATTGAGTTTTCATTGGATTGCAATTGCATTGACATTGAGATTGGTTTCAAGAGTAAACACCCTGGTCATTACACATTTAAAAAGCACGGCTTGGCGCAGTGACCGCGCGCTTCCAACTAGCTCAGCACGGCTCCAATCCAACAATCAACTTTTCATTTAAATATGAACTTTAAATCGTATGTCGTATGATATAATTTATAATCATAACGTCACCGTTATCAATATAAAAAAATTGTAAGCGCGCCAACAGAACGCTTAAAATGTGTTTTCTTTTGTTTTCATAGCAAAAACGCTGTACCGCAGCTGTGCCGCAGCTGTGCCGCAGCTGTGTCGGAGCTGTGCCGCAGCCATGCTTGTCAAGTGTGTTACCTTAACTCGTTCAAACAAAAAAACAAACGAATTATCAGTTTTAGTACTTTTTAAGTTATAGTCTATTTATAAAGACTAATAAATCATAACTGTTATCGTTAATGTGAGAGTACTTAAGTGTGTTTGTTACGCTTTTACTCCTAAACTACGTGGCCAATTTTGATGGGATTTGGCAAAGAGATAAGGAAGGGTGAACGAACACCTCATAGAGAGCCACCTCTACGTATCCTTTCAGCGAATAAAACTTATGACACAACATTATGAAATACATATGAGGTACTTACTATCAATATTTTGCACACGACGTTTATGTATTGAGAGCAAATCTTTCGATTTGGAGGCAAAATAAAAACACCACTGAAATGTTCAGTCTTGCATTGAATTGTGCAATAGACTCAGCTTGTCAATTTACTAGAACAAAGATAGTAATCTTATATCTTATACTATTATAGAGGTATAAAGCGGAAGAGTTTGTTTTTTTGTTTGTTTGTTTGAACGTGCTAATCTCCGTAACTACAAGTCTGATTTGAATAATACTTTTTGTTTTCGATAGCGCATTTATCAAGGATGGCTATAGTCTATAAAACGTCACGCTACGACTAATAGGAGCTGAGCAGAGCGTGTGAAACCGCGCGGAAGTAGCTAGTGACTGATGAATGTTGGTATAGATCACTTCCCATCGATATATCACATCATGTCTCAAAGGATTTGTAGTGTAGGAATGTAATGTTTGCAAGTCATTCAATACTTAATAGGAACTACACATTTGACTTAGTTTTGTCCGGTTAAGTAGTCAACAGCCTCAGCGTGCTGAACTACGAGTGGTTCTAACCTAAAAAAAAAAATTTGACTTTGACCGGGTAGCAGTGCTCCCTGATAAAACTAAACCTTATAGGTATTGCTATGACCAACCGCCTGCTAAGCGAGGTTAAGATAAACCCTTTTTATTTAAAGGAGACCCATAGTCTAGCAAATCAAGCTTTGGTTAGAAAGTTTGGGGAGGTTATGCTTCGGCATGAATGGGCCGTTCGGCCGGAGTGATACCACGGCCTCAAAGAAAACCAACGTGATACAACTTGTGTTGTGTTTCGTCCCCCTCTCCCCAATCCCTGAATATCCAACAATCCTCAAATTCCTAATCCCCAAAAGGCCGGTAACGCACTTGCAATGCCTGTAATGTTCTAGGTGACCATGGGCAGCGCTGATTACTTATCATCAGGTGATTTGTTAGAACGTTTACCAGCCTATCCCATGGCCAAAAAAATGACGCTGCAGGGATTTTATTGTTGAAAATGAATCACATTCATATTGTTATGTGCGGAAATCGAACCTGCGACACGTTGCGCAGCTACCGGTCGCCCAGGCACTGTGCCAATCGTGCAGTCCATTACCTTTACTTCATCAATTTTTATATCATTCATTCATAACTTTAGATCATGTGAGCGAGATGGACAGAAATAATATCATATCATCTTTACGATTAAGATAAAGTAGGTAAGTAATAGATAGTACCTAAGATAAAATAAAAACATAGGTATAAAAATAACTTGACATTTGTTTTGTATCATTTGTAGTCTGTACTAGACTGTCAACAAGATGCTTCGGTTGTGTGCGCTTGTTCTGCTAGGCTGTGTGAACAATTTCATTGCCTCGCCTTTGCATTCTGACGTACCTAAAACCTTTTTGGAACATGAAGTCGTGCCCGATGTGTTATCTGTGGCGCCTGCTGAATATTTGACCGTGAGTCCCCCCTATAATAATACCTACCTATTCCTTTTTTAACATTACCAGCCATTTTTATTCGAAAATTAACCGATTTCAAAAAAAAAGATTTTCTGAACCGATTTTTATGCGGTTTTCAGTACCTAAAGTGTGTTTACACTTAGAAGAATTTTTTAGTAGGTACCTAATTAATAACCTAGTTAAAAAGGGGATTGAGGATTTTATTTTTAAATTACAATTTTCACAATTTGAGTAGTAGGTAAAGGTAGTTTAAAAAAGAATTATTATAGAGGTACGTAAATATTTTTTATCGTGTTCTTTTTAAAAGAGTTAGTTTTTAGAGTAGAAATATTAGATACGATCTTGGATCCTATTAATTGCGAATTAAAACAAATAGGTAAAAGTACCTGAAATTAACAAAGGTAGGAAAGTAACCAGGAGTTTCGAATCATCATGGAATTATCATTATCGAGATCGTATTAAGTAAGTAGGTACCTATACCTATCTAGAAAAGTACTTAGTTAACTTTATTTATAATAATTAGGTATTATATTATAATTCCAGGTAAAATTCCCGAGTGGTGCAGAAGTGAATGGTGGCAACGTGCTAACTCCTACCCTGGTGAAGGACCTCCCCTCACTCTCGTGGAATGCAAACCCTGACCTCTTCTATACTGTTGTGAACACTGGTAAGTGATGTAGTCAGTGGTACCTACATAGGTACCTCTATAACAGTAATATTACGTATATAACATAGCATCTGAAGTCTTCTGACTAGCCTTATAGAAGTTGTAGTAAACGTAGATGCTTCATTCTCTGACTCTCACGATCTGATAAGACAGTTGTACTATTTTATTCTAGAAGATACATAGGTACCTATAATTCACGTAGGCAGGCAGAGTTGCCAAGCACAAAATCATTTTTGGTTGGGTTGGGAGTAACAACGAATTAACGTAAAAACTCAGTATTCATGCATTTTGAGTATATATCTGAATAATTAATATCCCCCTCGTTCTCGAATTGCAAACTCCCAGTCCACAGTGGTTTATCTAAGTGTCATTACTGCACTGCCTGCCTGCCTGACAACAAAGAATATTTTACACTTTATTGTCTCTTAGATCAAACAAGACAAAGATTATTATTTTCCTTCATTCCAGACCCCGACGCTCCCTCTCGTGCAGAGCCAGTATGGCGGGAGTTTGCCCACTGGCTGGTGGGCAACGTGCCAGGAGATGACATCGCGTCAGGAGACCAGCTAATGCAGTACTTCGGAGCCGGACCATCACTCGGCAGCGGCCTGCATCGCTATGTGTTCCTAGTCTACCAACAACCAGCTAAACTGGATTTTGACGAGCCTAGGATAAATTTGTAAGTTAGCAAAGTACCAAGTGATAGTTACCATGGTTATATTAACACGGTAAATTACTATATAAAAACAAGTCGGGTTTTCCTTCCTGACGCCATAACTCCAGAAGGAACGAACCGATTTCCACGGTTTTGCATTCGAAGGTCTCGGGCTCCGTGAGGTTTATAAAATATAAAACAAAAAAAAAATTCTTCATCTTTACATAAATCTGGTGGCGAAACAGAGTTTGCGGGGTTTGCTAGTTGGTTATAGTATCTAGTTATCTACATGGTAGTATCCTTCTCTACTTATTAGATTAGATCCCGAAACAGTAGGAAATTAGGATATTCGAAGTGCTTGGAACATTGTACTCCTCATTACACTGGGTCTTAGGACATAGGGTTTTATTAGTGAGTGTAGACAAGTTAGACATACCTAGTGATACTCTAGTCGAGCCCAGCATAAGAAACCATGTTCCTATAGGTATGTACCTACCTATCGCACTACGTTCCCAAACAGCATAAGCCAAATGTTTACCAAACCACAGTTAGAGTAGTAAAATAGATCCAACTCAGAGAAACTTTATATATTACTAGCTTTTACCCGCGGCTTCCGCAATATAAGATATACCAATACACACAGCGCCATCTATACCAATACTATTGTTTTCCCTCGGGAATATCAAATTTTTTCGGGATAAAAAGTACCCTATTATTTAATTCGGACTTCTAACTATATATCTGCAAAAATTCAAAGCAATCGGTTTAGTAGTTATGGCGTGAAAGCGGAACAAACAAACAAACAAACTCACTTTCCGATTTATAATATTAGTAAGGATAGTAAGGATTCTAATAACTACAACCCAATAATCTCATCATTTCAGAACAGCAGCAAACCGTGATTACTTCTCGATCGCCAACTTCGCCAAGAAGTACAACTTGGGAGATCCCATCGCGGGCAACTTGTACCAAGCTGAGTACGACGATTACGTGCCGATTTTGTACGAACAACTCGGCATTTAAATGAATAAGAATAGAACACCTATGTAGGCAAGGCACATATGAAAGACCGATGCTGGTTGAAAACTGAAGAATGATGCTCGTCACCTCAATTTAATATCAACTAGATATACTTTTTGATTATTAGATATTATTTTTTAAGGTATAAATATTTTAATTCCGGAAATATATATCAATCCTATCCAGTCCCATTTAGAAAAGTAAAAAACTAGATATTCTTCTTGCAACTTGCTCGGTTCTTATTGATCGCAGCGTGACTGCGATCAATAAGAACCGGACATGTATTACTTCGACAAATGCACTATCCATCACAAAAATAATCATTTATTTCGGACCAGTTGTTACGGAGATTATTGCGCTCAAACAAACTAAGTCTTCAGCTTTATAAATTAATTTAGTACCTAAATATAAGATAAGGTCCGAGCGTACGGTGTGTCGCGTTCCGCGCGCGCCTTAAGGAGCCATCAGACCACCACAGATGAGGGTACCGATACGAAGCCGCGGCCGGGTTACCGGGGCTCCGGCTCGAAGTGCAGGAGAAGGAACGGGGTGGTAAGAGTAGTAGTAAGAGTCTGACACTCCCTTTCACCTTACCCGGGTGAGAGAAGTCGTTGGACGATATTCCCCCCTCAAAAAAAAAAATATATAAGATATGGTACTGTTACAAAGTGTAATGTTATGTAATCGTTCAGTATTATTATAATTAAATATTTCAGGACCATAAAATGTGTATCATTTTCGATTTTCCTAAATTACTTTACCTACATAAATACTAGTACCAACCAAGTTACGAGTTGTTATTAACAATTTCAAAATTATGATACGATACATTGCTGTATACCAGTTGGTTCATTCCCACGCAATACGGATACAATGGGCGCTAATATTGCAACTGAAGAATGCGAAATTTTACAATACCATTGTCGATGTTTTGTAGTCTTGCCTTCCTCAATATAAACACAACAATATTTTTTCAATTCGGACCAGTAATGGTTCCGAAGATTAGCGCGTCAAACAAACTATGCAGCTTTAAATAGGAATTAGGTATATAGGTAACTGGAATACATTCTGTGTTAAATAAAACAACAAGATAAAGTGCATACCACTATAATAACCCCTAGAAGGATACAAAACCTTTACAATGGTCATATTGCTTGATATTTTGATCTTAATCAATTGTTGATATGGATCTTAAACAATAGGCTATACATGTATGTATTTTTTAAATCGGAAAAACGATAATTTGAGACACGGGAAAGGACGTAGTTTTTGTACCTGAAATCCTACGGAAACGGGAACTATGCGTTAAAATCCCGGGACTCTATCTTATAAACCACTGTACCCATTTGATTGAAATTCGGTACAGCGATGTTATATTGAAGACATGCTTATCAGATATTATGGACTTATCAATGGGTTTTGTAATACAGCAACATAATAAGACACAGGCTGAACTAATGGCTGCATAAGCTGCTGATAAGTAGCTAGTAACTTTATACTTTTCAAATCATGTGGGTAGGAAGCTTGAATCAGTATATAAATCAAAATGGAAATATTGTGTGTTCATGGTACAATGTTCGATGAAAAATATTGATCTGCCACATTCGATTAATGCAATAGAACATAGCAAATGACCCATATTATTACTCCATTTATAATCTTAAAATGTTAGTATTAATGATTTTTTCTTCCGTCTGCTTAGGCGCCGAGTTGTTCGTACAAAATCGGCACGTAATCGTCGTACTCAGCTTGGTACAAGTTGCCCGCGATGGGATCTCCCAAGTTGTACTTCTTGGCGAAGTTGGCGATCGAGAACTTTCCACGGTTGTCGCCGGATCTGAAAGTTACAATTGTTCATTAGTTGCAAGATTACTTTTTTTTATTAATTAAATCAAGACATCCTAACAGGTTACACTCAATGCGATAATGTTAACATTGTTATAACACAGCCATACATATTAATTATTGCACTTATCCCACAACTACATATGTACAACTAACAACATCAGTCGTTACCTTTATGAACTCCGCCAATGAGCAACAGAAAATATCAACCTTTTGTCCAATGCTGTTAATTATTTTAATAGCTCTAGCAACAGATCAGTCATTTTAAACAGAGGCTTCTCTATTATATTATTATTATCCCAAGCTTTGGATATAGCAGTTAGGTTATCGAAATTTTAAGAGCCTTATTGCATAACTGGACTCAGTGTTAGAATGTCTCGAGTTCACAGAAAATACATTTCTATTTTCTGTGCTGTCCATGACGTGATCAGAAGGCTGGTTGAACTATCCGGGCAGAAAGCCAGCATTGACAAACATGGCCTAATCTCCCCTGTGTGGCGCTGAGTTTTTTTTATGGCTTAAGCCGGTAAATGAGCAGACGGATCACCTGATAGTAAGCAATCGGCGTCGCCCATGGACACCTGGAACACCAGAGGCATTAAAAGTGCGTTACCGGCCTTTTGGGTATTAGGAGTTTGAGGATCGCTGGGGATTCAGGAATTGGGGAGATTGGGGAACGGGAAGGTAATTGGGCCTCCGGTAACCTCACTCACACGACGAAACACAACGCAAGCGTTACTTCACGTCGGTTTTTTGTGTGGCCGTGGTATCACTCCGGTCGAGCCGGTCCATTCGTGCCGAAGCATGGCTCTCCCACACTTAAACGTTCTTACTATCAAGTGATCGATCTGCCCTAAAAAACCGTTCTATAAACAAAGTAACTCACTTGTTAGTAAGCCTAGGCTCGTCGAATTCCAGTTTGCCAGGCTGTTTGTACACGAGGAAGACGTATCTGTGGAGGCCTGTGCCTTTTGGGGGCCCGGAGCCGACGTATTGCGACAGGGTCTCGCCGGCAGCTACGTTGTTACCGGGAACGTTGCCTACAAGCCAGTGGTGCCATTCACGGAATTTGGGGTCTTGGCGGGAAGGCGCATCGGGGTCTGAAAATGATAACATAAAGTGTATAAGATAAAGTCAAAGTTAAAATCATTTATTTCAATTAGACCAGGAAGGCACTTTTGAACGTCAGCAATAGAAATTTAAAATTGAAGCTATTTGCTCATTCCAAGGTGTAGATTCTTATGGAGAAGAACGAGCAAGAAACTCCATAGGTTACTCTTTTCCAAACAGGTTTAAAAGAAGAAAAAACAAATAAATATTCGAAGCTAATTGTACCTAACTTCCCTAATAAGTTAAGTAAACGGGCGTTACTAAAGGCAAAAATAATAAAGTCTATAATAAGATTTATTATAATACGCTCATTAATTTTAAATTGATCATTTCATTTCTCACATTACGATTAATTAATTGAGGCTGATTGATTTCTGTTCTTGAACATGACTGTTCGTGTTCATAACATTAAGGTGCGAAGGTAACAGTAGTGATGCTAATTTCAAGCACAAAAGCTTCAATTAAGCACTTTTCACTTAGTAGCATGTGAGTCGGAATATTGCTCAAAATGAACATGTTCATAGGCCTGAGCCTATTCAGGCATATTTACGAATCGACAGGCGTTCGATTTTTGATCATGCTCAATAGAACATCTTTTAGCATACTATTTTGGAGCATGTGCAATTATAGGACCAGTCATCTACCGTTCGCCACACCACAACGCGTGAAGTGAATCGAAATGTAATTTATAAACATTTTTAATCGTAATCAAGAAAAAAATGTATAAATATTGTGCCAAAATATAGCACCGTCGCTAAATTGTTTTAAATTTCTCTTCACACACCGTTACCGTTAATAGAGAAATATGATTTCATTTAATAAAATTTTGCGTAAAAATGATAACAATAACTTATTATTAAATAATCTGCAGAACGAACCAAGGCCAAAAATGTGAATGGTGAAGCCAAATTCGCCCATAATGTATTTTATTTTCTCATTATTTCTCACACAAATAGCTTTCTAATTTTTAGACAAGATTATAACTAAATTATGGCAATAGGCGTGGATGCCTGGAAGTTTAAGACTCCCGCTTCTCATACATCGGGCGCATGTTCACCTACCAACGGCAAGTATCTGTCTTTTTCAGAGTAATTCTAAAATTATTTAGACACCAATGACAAACGGTGAAGAAAAACTTGAAGTAACCTGGGCTTACAATTTCTAATTATAGGTAAGCCTAAAATCGCCAAATCGCAACTAAAGTTTATTTATATTGGGAGGAAATTGGTAGGTCTAGATAATATTGGTTGCGGTGACCAGTAAAAAGTAGATTTTAGATATGTATTTACATAAAATACATAGGTATATAATATAATGTATTAGGTTTTTTAAGACTGCATATTCAGGCGAAGAGAAAGTGTGTATAGTAGACAAATATTTATTTTGACACGTTATTAGTATACAATACACTATGTATAGATTTAATATACGTTATTGCGTAACGTCTGTTCTGCATTTCTTTAGTCTTACCGTATTTTCGCTCAACAGATGGCGCTAGCGTGAACCTCTCGTTCTTCGTCCAGTGGGGAATTGGCTACTGGCTACACGCCATTCGACGTTCAATATTTCACAGCGGCTGTGATTGGACAAAAAAACACATTCCTACGTTTGCACCATTTGGTGATCAAAATGCGGTAGCTTCCATTGAAGATTTTTTAGTATTCTACGATTTTCCCCACACAACACACCCGGAACAATTTGTGGAATACACAGAATTGTTTTGTAAATGGCACCATTGCGCCAACCGGTGCATCAACTTTGGTCATTCATAAAATACAGGAATCGAATTAATAAGTGCCGATCAACTTTAATTGGTTATTTAAAAAACAAGAAAGCTGCAGCGGTAGGCAAATGCCATTTAGAGTAGAAAACTAAATTATATGGAATTGACGTAAATTTTGAGATTTGTCAGTGTCATTCCTATACATTTAGTTTTCTACTCTCTCTGTAAGCAACGCTAAAGTGGCGCTTGGCTAAAGGCACTGGATACTTTACTATTATTAGTATAGATTAACGATAACGATGGCCGGCGCTAACTGATTATTATTAGCCTTTAACTCTAGAGTGGGTGGGTGGGCCTTTTTGCGAAACAGTGGGCGCGTGATGAGCATTTTGCCACCCCGCGATACCTGGTGGTGACAAACATCTTCAGAAACGGTACCTAGCACACTCACAGCATCAAATGTTTCGTGCATGCATTACTAACGAGACAAAAAACAGCTGGTTATTAAAAAGTGCAAGACTATCAGGCACTATTTTAAGTTGATAACGTTGTTTTAGCGCTCGCTGGAAAATATCCATAGCGCGCTCACATTAGGGTTACCAAAAACCTATCGCAGTTAGTAAAATACATAATTAGGTAATAATACTAACCGGTCATGGCGAGTGTGTAGAACTGGTCAGATGAAGCCTCCCATGAGACCGTGGGAATGTCCTTCACCAGGGTGGGAGTCAACACGTTGCCTTCGTCCACTTCCACACCGCTTGGGTACTTCACCTGTTGCAAATTGGTAGAGATTATAAAAACTGAACAAAATATTTAATAAAGGACCTATTTGTTTGTTTATCTGGTAACCTATCCTTTAGACTAGAAGTTTCTCAGTACATAAATAAGCAGATTTTTTCAAATAGTTTTGTTTACATTAAAATAACGATTTTATTTCTGATACCGTAATGCACGCTGCCTTCCGATTTAACTGTGCAGTTTAACTGTACAGTCGATCTTACTGTACCTATAGCGTGCATAAGGATGATGGAATAAAATATACGAAAGTAGGTGTAGTAGTTTTGTATTGATAATTTTTCGTCAAGTGAAGTTTTGAAAATTACGTCTAGATTTAGACAGTAAAAAGTGTTTATAGATTAAATTCAGACAAGATGTTCTCATTATTGTAAACATTATAATTGTTTTTGCTGAGAACCGGAATGTTTTGTTCATACATGCACATTACATAATTATGTTTTCGTCAATCATAAAGTTATTGGTACACTAAACACTAGTTACGTAGGTAATCTCAATAAAATATTGAAGTTTCAGAGATTACATCAGATAAACCTGCATGACTTTATCACGATAACATTTATGTGTGACATTAGGGAAAACAAATATTGAGATTACGATGTGAGCCTATGCACAAACTGCAAACTTTACAGTAGTTTTTTTTTTTAAATTCTGTGGCACTCTCTCTGTTGCTATCCACCGGGTGTTTTCCCTATGGTCGCTTGCGCCGATGGCTTGCGAATATCACCTAATGATGGTCGATCGCAAATATTATCAAATGTACATTTGAGTTTTAGCTGTTAAACCTGTGCTGTGCATTTAATCCTTGATGCAAAATTGATCTCACGTGATTTTTTAAAAGTAGGCGTTGTATATAGGGTAGTCTAATAAAGACGCGCGTCGCGTTGCGCGCGCGCTCCAAAGAGCCATCATACCACCACAGATGTGGTCCAGTAGGGCTGATGCCCGATACGGAGTCGCGAAAGGCCAAACGAGTTGCCGGGGCTTCGGCTCGAAGAGCAGTAGTAGGAACAGGGTGGTTTAAAGAATTACAAAAGTAATAAACTAATTGGAAATTGAAATACTCTGCCATAAAAGTTGATTAAGTTAATATATAAATGTTTATATCAATAACCCGATCTGTACACTACGTCATATCCAGATCAAGTAGGTACTAGATTTTATTCCATGTACTAAATGGATGGTTCGTCAATTTGCCATTTATAAGTGACATGTCCAGTTTATCACGGAGTTAAAATGAGATAATGAAGGCTTATTACAATCTAATGTAATGCTATTTATTATCTTCATTAACAAGGTTGTTAGGATAAAATACCTCTCTATTATTATCTATGCCTCGATGTTATACCTATACAATGTGGAAAGTTTCATACGATTGTTAAACCTGAATTGCTAAAGAAATTATTTTAGACATTCGAAGTATTATACCCGTGTAAAGATTTTTGCCAGCTGTCAGCGCAAATCCTTACTAATATTATAAATCGGAAAGTGAGTTAGTTAGTTTGTTTGTTTGTTTGTTCCGACTTCACGCCGTAACTACTCAACCGATTGCTTTGAATTTTTGCAGACGTAAAGTTCGAAGTCCGGATTAAATAATAGGGTACTTTTTAACCCGGAAAAAATTGTTATTCCCGAGGAAAAACAAAAGTATTGGTATAGATGGCGCTGTGTGTATTGGTATATGTCACATAGGCTACTTTTTATCCTTTTGTGACGCGAGCGAAGCCGCGGGTAAAAGCTAGTAATATATAACATTCTCAATACGTCTGTATTCCGAAATATTTGAGGGGCTAAAGAGGTCCCAGGTGAGTTTTAACAAAGGTCACAAAGAATAAGACCTGATTTTTAATAGGATAAGACGGTAAACGAGCTGTCGGATCACCTGATGGTAAGCAATCGTCGCCCATAGACACCCGAAACACCAGGGGTGTTACAAGCGCGTTACCGGTTTTTTGGGAATTTGAGGATTAAGGGGGATTCGGGGATTGGGGACACTGGGGGGTAATCGGACCTTCGGTAACTTCACTCACACGACGAAACACAACGAAAGCGTTGTTTCACGTCGGTTTTCTCTGAAGAATATTCAATAAACATTCTGTTTCCTAGCTTTATCATATCTGTATAAATTGAATTAGCTTCTATTTTCCGGTTCTCAATTGGGCGAACCCTAAACAGGCTACGTTGCGGATAATACTAGGAATCACTGTGTCAACATCTATACTCCGTCTGTTTAGGTAGTTAACTATTTGTAAACAAACCATAAAAAGAGTTCTTTATAGTTGACATTTCCATGATTCAAAATACTTCGTAAGAAAATAAAATTGTTTCCCTTTTTACGACAGTTTTCTCTATTAAACGTTATGTTTCTGTTCCTTTTCACTTATTTCTTAATAAATATTAAATATATCTGCTTGAGGACATTAATTTAATAATATTTATTAAATAATATAATATTTCATTACAATAGACACCATAAAGAGCCTAAAATCCCAGGTATCTAAAACGTTTCTTTAAGAACGAAGCAAAATAATGTTGTCAAATTAAAGAGTACAACGAAGATGTAGCGCGACAATGAAAGTAGCGTGTATTACGTATAGTCGGTTAATCAGGCGCCATTGACAGCTCTCTCGTCGTTTGCGCTCGCGTTCCTATTTTGTTGAATTTAACTTGTTTCTTTGTTTTGTTTTTGTTATTAAGTTATTTAAGTTTAGGTTATTCATCGTTTGTAATTAATGTGTTCAAATATATTGAAGAAACTTGGCCCAAAGACAGATATCCGTACAAGAAAGAAATCCGTACATCAGATTCAGAATAGTTTCTATTTAAACATGATAATGATATAGACCCATAGGCTAGGCTCTTGTACGATTTAGGCATTTGTACTTGTATGTGTGTGTATGACAAATGAACGATTTTAAAGTGAATTTAGTTAAAATTAAAACACGAGAAATATTTTTGAAGTAATAGTAGGTTAAGTATCTCTGTGTCACGTGGTTTTCTTTGTTTACCTTTAGTTAATTACCTAAACAGATGGACTATAGTTATTCCAGGACTGGTATGTTTAAAACTAAATCGGCATTTTATTGGGACCAGTCAAAATGGACAAGATACAAACAAAAGTTATACTAACAAGTAACATTTATTTAGAGAAAAAACATAATATATTTGAAGGCTGTTCAAACTGTTCTTAGGTACCTATGTAAAACAGAAAATGATTTTTGCCCATAAGCGTATGCCAACTTTTAAATGATGTCAGAACTTTCTTAAGCGACATTATGGAGAAGAAAGGACATACGTTTTGGAACTTAAACTATTAATAATAATTAAGATCAGGGTCAAGCGATTAGGCACTGGTGTGCCTCCGCTGATCCGGAAAATAAAAGATCAGTGAACTTATTATGTATATGTGTTACCGGCCCTTGGAGGAGAAAATAATGCCAAATCGAAAAAGTAAAATATCCAAAGGGCTAAATATAAAACAAACTCATACTAAACTCTCGGTTCATATCGTACAAAGTAAGGGTGGTACCATAATATTTTTTTTTTATAGCATATGCCGGTAAAGAATCAGACGGATCACCTGATGGTAAGCAATCGGCGCCGCCTATGGACACTCGAAACACCAAGGCGTTACAAGTGCGTTACCGGCCTTTTGGGAATTGGGGATTTGAGGATTGTGGATTCGGGAATTCGGGAGACGGGGACTAGGTCTAGATTCGCCAGTAGGTATTTTACATAGACCGAATATTCGATGACTAAACAGCAAGGACTAGGACGTGCTTGGACGGAACAGATGGTGCGGTGGCTGGGCAACCGGCTCTTGTGCAACTCTGTGTGTGATCCACAAATTGTTGTTCCGGGTCTGGATGGCATGTGTATGTGAATTTGTATGTTTGTAAACGTAGGTACCCGCGATACAGGAGAAAATCCTAGTATGAGGCAACGTTTAAAAAAACAAAATCTAATTCAATTTAGTACGGTTGAGAACGAAACAAAGTGAGTATTACACGATCCGGACATAGTATTACCGGTTGTAGGTATACGCATAGGTATAATCTTACATAGCTATGTACTTATTGCAGCAGAATTGCTACCTTCACATTATTATTAATAAAAATCATAGACAAAGTCAAGACAATATAGTAATTTAACATACGTCCCTATTATTACTAATGTAGTATTAGTGTGTTCAATTGTAGTTTTGTCGCAAAACCTGGTGGCTGTTCTACGTAATTTGGGACATTTTTTTAAGCAAGTAACGCCTTGTTTCGCGCCATTATGGATGATTTTTGTCAGCTTCTGTAAGCCTTGGGTAAAAACTTGTTTAATAAAAGTACTTATACTTATGTATAAGACGAACTAAACCACTGTGAATCACTACACATTTGGCAGCAACAGGGCAGTAGTGCCCTCTGATAAACTTGAACATTTTAAATACAAATATTATTTATTTTGTCAATGTAGGTGGTTGTGCTGATTTAAAGTGCGATTTCCAACTCGCTTGCTGAGTAGGTATGGATATTACGGTAAACCCTCTTAAGTAGATGGGGCTTCATAAATTCCAGAAGTTATACTTTTACGGGCTATTAATGAAACCACTATCTAAAAATCAAGTGCCCTTTAATTTTTGATGTATAGGGACTTTTTGGGGTGTCCAATTTTGGGGATGAGTGAAGTCCTTATCATAATTAAGATACATACAATACCGCAGAACATTACAGTGGTTCACCGGATTCGACTAAATGAGATAAACTCAATAGGGAATTGATTAAAGCTAGAATGCTTTTGAAATAACATAATTATTCGTGTTTTAATCCTGATAGAATGGAATGGAATAACTTAAATCAAAATCTAGGTTAAATCCACCGTGAGATATAAACAAAAACTTTCTCAAATGCGCATACAATCCGATAACACGATCGGCAGTTGTTGAATAACATCGACGATTAACTGTTATCGCACCATTAAAATTAAACTTATTTATGTGTTCGATAGATAATAAAAAACATACTTACGGACACTATCGCTTCAGGGGCTTTGGACACGACATCAGGCACCACCATGTGGGACTCAAAACTCTTCGCAATTGTTGACATGGTTCTCGCTAACACCCTAAAATTGTTCATATGGCTGATTGCTATTAACAAAAGAATTTCACAGCTCAATATTCGCGCCATTTTCAATCAGGACAAAGACAAACACAGCGTTTTTTTTTTTTATTTAATTCAACGAAATGTCCACCTCCTTTCGCTGCTTGCGGCGAGTGACTGGCCTTCGTCGTGTGCCAGTTATATAAAGAGTTACTCTGATGGCAAGTTTCAATAGGAATATGGTGGGGTACATGTATGAATACAAATGGTGAAATGGTATGTTTTTATGTTTTTGTGCCTAGGAAGTTCATGTCGTTTTTTTAAGGAAAGCTGTTGGATAGTTTTCTTTAAATAGTTAACTAGCTTTAAGTTAAATTCGTTTTGAATGTCAATGGTGATATAGAATATAAAGTTTTTTTTTAAATTAAACATAGATACTAATTTGCTAAACCATTGATTTGGCTGCCTGAAACATTTTTTTTTAATTTAAGTTATTAGTTTTATTTTATTCTATAGGCTGATAGGCTGAAATATTCATAAACTGTCGTCTTCGACATATTTCTTCATCAACAACATCAACAGCCTGTAAGTGGCCACTGCTGACCATAGGCCTCTTCTCACATGGTGAAGGATCTCTCATATCTCTTCAAAGTCAAAATATTCATTTCAATTAAACCATAATTTAGTACTTTTGAAACATCAACAAATATAACATAAATAACATCTGTCAGTCTATGCGTCAGTGAAGCTAGGTGCTCATTCCAAAATGTAGATTCGAATTGAGAAGAACAAGCAAGAAACTCCAAATTAAAACTTAATAAATCACTTTTGTTCACAACTATACCGACATAAGTTGACAAACACACGGCAATTACCGCTAAAGGTGTGAGAGTCAGCTTGCATCCTTTACAGAATAAACATCATTGTCAAGTTGACACTCAATATAACACGCCGGAGCCACTCTCATCATTCACTCCACTAATAATAATATTAGAATGACATCAATCCATACAATATTAGTTATATCGAACTAAGTAATATTTGTTATGACTTTAACTGTTATTCCCATATTAGTTGTACTTGTACCAATTACTCATCGATGAGGTATTTTATTTTATAAATTGCACTATGTTTTTAAAATATTTCGTTTTTAAATGAATGTGAGTGGTGACTGTGGACATAAACCAGTATAGCTTGTAGTAAAAAAATGTATCAATCTAGCTACAGATTGTTAGGACATTTTATATTATTTTGTGGAGTGTAACTTTTAAGATGTTACGAGTAAAATTCGGAATGAGTAATAAAATGATTTCAGTTTAAATATTTTATACAATATTGATAAATTTATATACATATAATATTTATTTTCACTGATGATGATTCAATACAGACAGTAGGTACTGCAGAGTAAAATTCCTGGCGTCCTTACACTAAAATATTCTCTTATTAGAATTGAAAAATTGTTCAATAATTTTATTGGACATACTTTTTCTAAATCTTCAAATACTATTTCTTATTGGAATTAAGTATTCATAATAAGTTTGAAGTAGGTAGTTATTGATCATATTTCATTGTGGCAATTAGTTTGAGCTTCCAGACTCACTTTTAATATCATTAAATGTTGACAGCCAAATCAAGTGTTCAGTTTTTAGAATTTATTGTAACCTGAACAACCAAGAAATGAGTGATCTTTGAAGTAAACCAAACCAACCGACTTGATAGCCTTTGGCACCAGTACCTAATATAAAATTTATATTATTAGTCCAAGTGTGTCAGTAAACAATCACAATACAATTCTCTTTCACAATAGAGCAAGTAGTTAGTGAATTTATTGACCGAACTAATTGAAGACGACAATACTTTCAATTTAGAATTATTTTCATGGAATCCAGTTCAATTAACGACTGACTGACTGACCATTATTTAACTGATGCCACGTCTTACGTAACGGAATAAATAAAACTAACTCAACTCAATAAACGTATGTTTGTACCCACACCGGTAGCATGCTATCATTTTGTGCAAATATAACATGTGCATTTCTATTTAGATAAAACATACAGTTATTAAACAATTTAATTATATGCTAGTTAAATATCTTACCTAAGCGCTTTTGTAAATAAAAAACAATAAAAGTGTACACAAAAAGTAAACTTCGAGTCGAAAAACGAAAATGCCTATCACAGATCACACTAATCACAGTATCACACTAACGTGATCAGCCGAGCCGGCAACTCTGGCCAATGAAAACTGTCCAAAAAATAGCGCGAATTTTAAAAAATCAAGAGCTGTCATCCCTGGCTATAAAAACACTGCTAAAACGGAATCGATAGTTTAATATTTCAAAATATTTATTAAAAAAATATAATATAAATCAAAAGTTTTTCTTAAAAATTAAACTCTGTTTCACACCAGTGAGCCAAGGTTTAGTACCTGATTTTTTTAAATTGGCGCCATTTTTCTTGACAGTTTTTTTGGCCAGACTGACAGACTCTAATAGACAAAATTCCTGTATCAGCCAGTCTATTTTATTCTATTTTCTCCTCTCCTGATAATAGTCGGATAAAAATGCTCTCAATGTGTGACAGTTATACAACGTTTGCAACAAACTAAACTTTTTATGGTTTACTTTATTTCAACAACATTTTTTAGTGGTCTAGCGCTAGAAAATAAGATTCAAAAGGCCAAGCAGAAATATTTTATATCTTGCAAAAGATCCTTGAACTCTTTTTCTCTTTTTTTTTTTGAAGCTAGGTATCAAGAAATCTGCCTGCCTGTCAAAATCAATGAACGTCAGTTTAAGTCAGTTAACAATTGTCATTGTCAAGTTGGCATTAGGCAGAGAAGCGAAAGGAAGCTATTATTTTCTTCGTATTTATTGTTTTATTTGATTCGCGTAGACATAGTGTCATTATTTAAGTTTTATCCACTTATTGTTTGTATTTCCAACATATAAATGTGTAATTACATAATCAAAATGCCTTAAACTGGATAAGATGCTTCTCGGTGACATCGAGCTAACCAAACGCTTGTTAGTGATTGCTGTCGTTCTCGGCATTATTTTGGTTTTGAAGGAATACGTATTTGTTTATCCACTATGACCCAACATAAAGTAGCATATTTTTACAACGCGGACGTGGGGAACTTCCACTATGGGCCCGGGCACCCTATGAAACCGCATCGGTTGTCGGTGACTCATAGTTTGGTGCTGAATTATGGCTTGCATAAAAAGATGCAGATATACAAGCCGTATAGAGCGAGCGCCCATGACATGTGTCGCTTCCACAGCGAGGATTATATTGAGTTCTTGCAAAATGTGACCCCACAGAATATACAAAGTGAGTAAGACGCATTATATTACATTGTATGTCTTTCCTGTCAGGTTTTGTAGACATGCATATATGTATGAGTACGTTTTACATTTACATGCCCATTTTCATACATTTACATTTCATTTTTATACATTTTCGTGCCCATTTTCCACCTAGTATTTATAATATCTAAATTAACAGGTATTCTAATGTTATGGTGGATTAACCTGTTTATTGCTTTTATACTAATTATTAGGTATATCAAAATTCCTATTTTCTATTAATTTGAATGAGACTCTGTAGACATTTATAAAGAAAAATAGATTTATAAATAAAGTAATAAATAGCACCTTTGGATCTGTATTACTTCAGATACTCATTCTTTTAAAAATTAATATAAATATGGGTAATTTACATGAGGACATGATTATTACCAGATTACAAGGTCAACATTCAACTTATCGATGATTTTAAACATTGATATTTACTTTTGTTTTTAATTCTAGGTTATTCCAAAGACTTACTGCATTACAATGTGGGTGACGATTGTCCTGTGTTTGAAGGACTGTTTGATTTCTGCTCAATGTACACGGGGGCTTCACTAGAGGGCGCCATGAAGCTCAACAATAATGCCTGTGACATTGCCATCAACTGGTCTGGAGGTCTGCATCATGCTAAGAAGTTTGAGCCTTCTGGTAAGTATTTCCAGATGTCAAAAAGAACCATAGGTCTTTTAAGATAGACCTAAGACATCGTAATTATTATGAGTAATATTTTTATTCATTTATTGTTCTGTGAGGAAACTAAGAGTTCTATTCGGAAATTGAATTGCATCTAAAAAAGATTCTATTAAGAAAATTGGTTGAGGGTAAAATAATAAAGGTTTCTATTCAACATGTTAGGAACTATAAGCATATCCGCCATACCAGAATACTGAAATGCTAGTCAATTATAATACTTAAGCACAACTTAAACTTAATTCTGTCACTACAAATTCTTTGTAAATGGTAGATATTAAAATATTTAAGTACTTACCTACAACTTAAAATTAATTCGCCTTTCAGTATTCGAGCAGTAGTTATTCTCTGTTTCTTACATTTTAAGAAAGGTGATGATTTGAATTTTATATTATTATTGTCTCTATCTTACAGGTTTCTGCTACGTAAATGACATAGTAATAGCAATACTAGAGTTACTGAAATACCACCCAAGGGTGTTATACATAGACATTGACGTCCACCATGGTGATGGTGTTCAAGAAGCCTTCTACCTAACTGATAGAGTGATGACCGTCAGTTTCCATAAGTACGGGAACTACTTCTTCCCTGGAACTGGGGATATGTATGAAATTGGAGCTGAAAGTGGAAGGTACTATTCTGTTAATGTGCCACTAAAAGAAGGGATTGATGATCAGAGTTATGTTCAGGTTTGTATATTTTTTATTTATTTATTTATTTATGTACACACATTCAACACAGAAGACAATACATAATATAAAAACAAGAGTACATAGGCCCCACATATTCCAACTGGAATTTCTTTTACTTTGAATGCTATTTATTTTTTTATTTCTGTTAAATTTTTACAGAAGTCACTGGACTAACTTGTTTGACAACATATCCAGATTCTGGATTCGGTACTGTGTTCAGAGCTGTATTAAGTATTTTAAAGGCTAACTAGACAGGTGCCTATGGCGCCAAGTTTCAAATGGGCGCTGTGAGACGCCCGTACCCAAATGTCCACGGAGTGACGGCGGTGTCAAAAAAATTAGGGGCATCCATGAGGTGGTTGGCTAGGGTGAACTCTAGATTAATTTGGGTACTTGCCAACTAGTCAAATTCAATACATTTTTCGAACTGTCAAAAACGACAGATTTCTATGAATTTTGTACGAGATTGTGTATTGTGACGTCACGTTTTTTTAGCGTCAAACATCATACTTATTTTGCTGGTAAAATAGTAAAATTAAGTTGGTCATAAAATCAAATAATTAAAGTGATATTTTTTTTTAAATTTTTATTGTATTGAACAGTCGAAATACCTAATTATTTTTTTGATTAAGTTAAGTACCCAATTCTGTTCTATGTCTAGAATCAAAGTGTTACAAACTTGATTTGACATTTACAAAACAACTATGTATTTAATTTCTTGTTGTTTTTCTCCATAAAGAGATTCAATAAGGAATAACGATTTTTTTACTGTTAAGTATGCATTTTAACATATTTATTCTTTGGAATATAATGACATACAAATTATGTTAATAGCAGACATAATGCTCTGACCTTTGATACTTTGCACAACTGTGGCCCTACTGACATAATAAATCTATACTTAATTTACTTACCTTACACCTTTATATATTGTTACAGAATAATCCGATTTCAATAATCCTTGTGTCGGGTAGTGCATTTATAGAGAAAGAGTATGAGCTATAAAACATCGGGCTTATGACCAATAGGAGCGAGCAGGGGCTAAAAACCGCGGTAGAGTAGCTAGTAACAATCATAAAAAAAAGTTAATTTTAAAATCAACGTTTCCAGGTATTCAAACCAGTAATATCGAACGTGATGGAGTTCTACCGTCCAACTGCGATAGTGTTACAATGCGGTGCAGACTCGCTAGCGGGGGACAGGCTTGGGTGTTTCTCGTTGTCCACGCGGGGGCACGGAGAGTGCGTCAAGTTTGTCAAGAACTTAAATGTGCCCACTTTAGTAGTGGGAGGGGGAGGGTAAGTTATTGTTAAATCACTTTTTAGAACTTTAATCAGACTTATCAGAATAGGGGTAGTTGCCTAAATGTTTTTTAATGTCCGTCTTGTAGTTTAATTTAAAAAATTAGACACGTATTTTTTCTATTCTCACAAAATTAAATACTTTCGACGATATATTAATCTGAAATATCGTGTGACGTCACTATGTGCTACATTTTGTAGGGCATAGTGACGTAATGACCGGGTAAACTTAACTCCATGTTATCTAAGTATTGTAACTTTATATGAGACAATAAAAAAATAAGTGTCTAATATTTTTCATTATCTATCTAACGGACTAATTAGATTTTTAATTTTCATTCCCTGGCAACTACCCTGTTACTCCCGAATACTGAAGGCTACTCAAATGTCTATATACTTAAATGTCGTACCATCTCTGTTAATTTACAAAAAAAAAATTGTAGTAACAGAACTGCATAATATATTATTATGTACTTCGCGCGTTTTAAAATTGAGTGGCCTTTAAGTATTTGGACATTAGTGTGGATAAAAATATGGTTTTACTCTTTATAAACTACGTGTAGTTATTGGCTATTTTAAGGATTCATGAAATAATAAAGAATTCATATTTGCCCTAGTAAGAACTATGTAACCTATGTATGAATAGGGATGATGACAGGGTATGAAAATTAAAAAATCTAATTAGTCCGTCAGTTAGGTAATTAAAAAATATTAGATACTTACGTTTTTTTTTATACTGTTGTATAATAAAATGATACTTAGATATAACGAATCAAAGTTTAGGAGTGGGAGCTAAAACGTCATTTCTACGTATAAAATGTACATAGAAGTGCTGTCACGCGACATTTCAAATCAATATATCGTCTAAGTATTCGTTTCTGTAGAAAAATAAAAAACACGTGTGTAATGTTTTAAAATATTCTACCAGACGGACATTAAAATAAAAATTAGTCATCTACCCTATTATGAATATTTTGTTACTATATTCAGAGATTCTCTTCTCAAAAAGATGAGAATGCAAGTGTGACTGTCGATCATACAGTCTGGAATTGTCGTTAATAAATTAATTTAATTATATAATACTAATTCTTACATTTCAGTTACACACTAAGGAACGTGGCGCGGTGCTGGACATATGAAACCTCACTTCTAGTCGATGAGAATATATCAAATGAGTTGCCTTACACGGAGTATTTAGAATTTTTCGCGCCGGACTTCCAATTGCATCCAGAAATCAATAGGTAAGCATCAGTAGTCGCACTAGTATGCGTAGAGTACAACAATTTGTTTAAATATTTTAATAATTAGGATTTTTTATAAGATAAGCCGGTAATGTTAATGAAGCGAAAGAGGTATGTAAGAATCGTAGTAATTGGCGTTCCTTAGTTTCTGCCTACCCCCATGGGAGACAGGCGTGAAGTTATGTATGTATGTATGTATAAGCCGGTAAACACAGGGCAGACGGATCACCTGATGGTAAGCAATCGGCGTCGCCCATGGACACCTGAAACACCAGAGGCGTTACAAGTGCGTTACCGGCCTTTTGGGAAGAGGAGTTTGAGGATTGTGGCGGATTCGGGAATTGGGGAGACTGAAGAAGGGAGTAATTGGGCCTCCGGTAACCTCACTCACACGACGAAACACAAAACAGACGTGAAACAACGCTTGCGTTGGCAAGCGTTGTTTCACGTCTGTTTTCTGTGAGGCCGTCGTATCACTCCAGTCGAGCCGGCCCATTCGTGCCGAAGCATGGCTCTCCCACCCTTAAAAAGGGTAGGATATCTTAGGTCAACATTTTGTTCTGCTCAAATCTTCTGATTAATTTCGTTGCGGGATCCAAGAGTTGTTCACGGGGTGTTGGGATGCGCTGGACTTTTGTTTCGGTATTTTGTTGGTTGCAGTGTTTGGGAATATGTGGCAGGCCTGTCCCAACAACTGTCACGGTTAATATTTCGGATTCTGACATATCGACTTTATAAATATCAAAGCATTTAAATGTTAAAGTGTACAGATGATGGTTATAGAAATTCTCGAATCGTTTCCTTTAAAGATTATTACTTTATTACACAATACCTTTGTATTCTGTTTCAGCACAAATAATGCAAACAGTAAACAGTATTTGGAAGCGATCTCAAAACACGTGTATGACAACCTCAAGATGTGCCAGCACTCACCTGCTGTTCAAATGACGCATGTACCAGGTAAATTATACTATCGCTGATTTGGACCTAATGGTAATCTAATGATTGTTCTAATAAAAATTTTGTATGTCTGTACAGACACAATGTGGCGCACTACCATAATATTATCTACCATCTATTGTAACATACCTACATTGACGAAATAAACAATATTTGTATTTGTATTTGTATTTGTATCGAAGTCACTTCTAGTCTTCACACGGCGCGTTGCGTTCCGCGCGCGCTTCAGGGAGTCATCAGACTACCACGGATGGGCTCAATAGGGCTGATGCCGATTCGGAGTCGCGGAGAACCTAACGGGTTACCGGGGCTCCGGCTCGAAGTGCCGGAGTAGGAACGGGTTTTTATTCAGTAAGAGTCTGACACTCCCTCCCGCCTCGCCCAGGCGGGATAAGATATTCGATGACTTCGCCGCTAAAAAAAAATGTCTTCACAATTCAATACTCTGACTGAATTATAGTTATTTCTTAGTAAAAATCTGTAGGTAGTACCAAACACCTACTTGAAGTATAAAGAAATAGTTTCCGTTAGGTCCATTTATCTAATATTCTTTATGAATTTACAGGAGACTTCTTCCCCGAAGAGTACAGAATAAAGGATGAACCTGACCCAGATGTAAGGATCAGTCAAGAGGAGGCTGATAAGATGGTAGATGCTAAGAATGAATTCTATGAGGATGAGAAAGATAATGATAAGGAACCAGTGGTTGAAAACAAGGATCCATAGCATACAAATGGCCTGACTGACCCGCTGGCCATATGACAAGAAAAGGGTTACAGAAGATACAGAAAAAAGTTTCTGTGAGTGAAGTGTAAAGAGTGAATGAATGACAAAGTGATTTAGTTCAATTATTTTGACAGTTCGTGACTGTTTCTTTTTTAAGTTGGTTGTCTATGGTGTTTTTAACCCTTCCCTTGCAGTTTTTTTTTGTAATATTTTGGTGATTTTTTGGACATGAACTATGGAATTGACAATGATTATTTCTTACTCAAATGAAATAATTTATTTATATGATAACAGTATGTATACGCTATAAGTGAAGGGTTGATGATTTTATTTAGATTCCTGTACAATTTGTTGTTAACTCAATTAATTTCAGACAGGAACAATAATATTTTAGTTTAAAACAACTTAATCTAATAAATTAAACGTAATCAGTTTCAATGAGGGAAAATAGCTCAAATAAAGTTGACGTTTAATGGAACTGTCATCAATAATAATAATTAAGTAGATAGAAAAATGCATTATAAAAATTATTTATGCAATTTAGTGTTAAATATCAAAATCTACATAGTACAGTCAATAGCGCATCTTGGCCCTGACACTCCCAACTATCATATTTCATAAAGTATGTCTTCTTAACAGCCAAAAGACCAGGTGTCCTCTCTCACCCACCTCCATTATAGACCTTACTTCCAATATTTAGAGATTACTTTTGTATGAACAGGTTACATGATGTGATCTTGCTAAAGAGGTTTTACTACCTTGCTTGTCGAGGTGTCTCAAAGATTTTCGAGTTCAAAAAAGTATTATGTCTCGAGAATTAATCGAAATCTTTCTGTAGTAGTATGGAGTCCGGAAGCCTGGTTTTTAGGCTTGCCCCTATTACATGATGTGATGGGTTGGGTGTAGTGGGACGCAATTACTTTATAGCAGTGCAATTGACTGTACTCAAATTATGGTAGTTACTTAAATAATGTATCATGTATGGGATATGAAAGAAAATATTGTAAAATATCATACAAGCATTTTCTGACGTCATATTTAAGTATTAGCTATATTTAGAAGAATAAAGGTCAAGATAAATAGGTATTGTTCAACTGAGAACAATTTAATTGGATCCTGCAAAAGTAGAGTATCTTTACAGGCTTTACACTAAAGTAAGAACAGATACGTACATAATATTCTTGGTATGTTAGGACTGAAACACCTCACTGTATAGCACGGCACATTGTGCTGCGGCTTGCCGTGGTATCCCTTGATAGTCTAGCCACTCTTCTATGAATGTTGTATAAGTTACAGTCTTATTTCAACCAGCTTAACAATCATAATTCTTCGAGACAAAGTAACTGGTCTAGTGCAGCAACACGTGGAATGAAACGGCATGCCATACCGCGTCGCGGCATCGGGTATCGAAATAAAGGTAGCATGTACTCTAAACTTATTGCAATAAGATTCAAAATAACTTGATTAGTAATAAAATTATCTGCCCTTATGTGTTTTTGAAATTGTGCGCTACATGGGATTTACAATTGGTATTTTCACATCTACCTTCGGAGATTAACTGGCGTTATTGTGTTTTACGTATACGTACAGGTGAACAATGTTTACTTATTTTGACCTAGGATGTTAATTAATTTGCTAAGTAACATATTTTGGTGCCTACAATGTAGGTTAAAATTGTGTTTCGTAAACATAAAATCAATTTTAATATTTAATGAGATCATTCCTATTTTTTTATTAAGGAGTATGGTGGTTAGTATGATGGTGTTGCCTTATCCAAATAATGTATTTTAATCGACTACTTTAAAAAATCTTTTAATTTTCTTTTAATATCATCATTACATATTGTGCAAATGATTTAGTTATATATTGACAAGGAACAGAAATTATGATAATTTCTTTTTAAAAAGTTAAGTCGGATCGGAATTTCCAGATGGCATGTGAAAAGTTACTATGACCCTTAAGTTAGTAACTTTAGTTTATCAATTATTTTGGCATTGTTTAATAAGTTGTAAATATTGTACAAATTATGCCTAATAAAGTTATTATCATTTTAAATCATCATTTTGTGTTTCACTTGTTAATTTATTAGGAAACTCAGGGCAGGGGCAATGTTCTGTAGAAAAAAATGAAGTCTATTGTAATTGCAAAAATACATTTATTAATAATAATTATTAATTTAAATAAATTACAGTAAATACATTGCTAATATGTACCAAATCTCAAATCCAAATTGTTGTCTTTAATATATTGAATTATTTCCATCATTTCCACTACAATGTCAACTGTGAACACTTGAAGCTTATCACACATTTGGATTATCTTTTTTACCACATTCTTCGATACCACGAATGTGCAATCCAACCACAAAGAATTTAAGTTTCTCAAATGTCCTTTCTCTAATAAATGCAATAATGTTTCATCTATCCTAGTCTGTCTTTGATACTTCAAAACTAACTTTTGCATGTTATATGTACACTCTAAGAAAAATGTCAAAATGTCATGCATACAAAAATGGTCATTACCTATTGTTAGATTCCTGAGTTCTGAGAATATTTTTCCTGGCCGCTGAAAATATTTAGGTATGACCAAACTATTTGACTGAGTCATCAAACAGAGCGTGTTCAAGTTAGGACAACACCTTCCAAGACATATGATTGCATCTAAAGTCATAGAGTGGTCAATTTCCCACAGGGAGAAGTGTGTGAGGTAGCTGCCTTTGACCGAAAAAAGTTGCTGCATTGATTCCGTGTAGGAAAAGAAAGAAAGATCTAGCCTATACAACCTTGCTTCACTCATACAGATCTGTTCTAAAATTAGATCTTTACTAAATTCCGATAAATGCGTTATCGACAATTCTCTGAGAAACGGACATATTTTCAGTAATTTCCTAATACCGTCAGCTGAAGCAAAATGGCAGTTTATTTTGCGAAGACTCAAGGGCCCTATGTCTATAGTACTACTAATTAAAGTAGACCCAATATCGCAGGACTCAATCCGTAGCTCCTCCAAGTATGGTAGTTTGCTGATACACATGATGATACCAGCTTGAGACACACACCGGCCTATACGATTCGCTCGTTCATTCCTCGGCGGGTCCATTGAGAGTATCCTTAAATGTTTCAAATTTGTGACAAAACAAAGACCAGCATCGGAGACATTCCTAATTAGTACAGAGGCATTGAAAAGGGACTTGCAAACGTCGACTTTAGAGACAATGTTAATATCTTCGAGTAAGGGGCAATTCTGGCTAATGACTTCGAGAATTTCGTCAGTGCAAATAAATCTGAGATCGAGAACGACTAAGCGCTTGAAGGTGGAGAGTGTAGAGATCCAGAAAGATTGAGATATAGCGTTATCGGTTTCGCATTTGCGGAAGTATGTCAGGTTGGGGTGCGTCAGTGCATGTAGCTGAATGCGAGGATCACCGCGATACAGGCGGCATGTTCTTTTTGAACAGAGGACATCAAATAACCTGGAAATGAAAAAACAGATGGTTAAAATTTAAAATTGTCTTCTGAATACCAAAGTAATTAACCTTGGCAGTCTAGTATTATAACTTACAGTAATTAGTTTAAAATCTGTCTCTCCTGTTTGTCTTATCATGTTTAATATTTTTATCACAGTGCATATTTGTGTATTTGTATTAAATTGTGATAACAGTATTTTACACAACTCTGCTTATTTAGCAATTATTTAAATAACAGATAACAATTATAAATATAGTGAAACGGTGTAGATAGGTTACCTAAACAACATTTGATGTTCAAAATGATCACACTAAAGAACACATAAATATATTGACAGTGCAAAAGTGTGACATCCATATTTTAACGTGCCACTTTCTAAGCGCTTGAAACCTATCTACATCTTTTAACTGTTCAATCCCCAAGCAGACACTAGTGACCGCTCTTCGCTAACTCCGTTATAGACTTTATTTCCAAAGTTTTAGAGACTTCTTTTGTATGAACAATTTTTGGGGATTTATTGTGCCGATACATCAATGTAATAATATCATTGGTAGATAATGAAAATGGTCATTCATGGAAGACATTTTAAAGTCATTTGAAATTTAATTTTAATTCTTATAGTATACACCACTATCTTAATGCGTAGGAAGTAATTTTATTATCAATTGCTATTTACACTTGATTCCTCATTACATATGTATAGCGCAAGTGGCCACTATAACAATGGATCAGCTACACAAATTAAATGCTATAGTCAACAAATTGACTTGCATTTCCATGTTACAAAATATTTTATAAATTTGTCAAAAACAAGGTGCTTATTTGAAAAACTTTATGGGACACACAACATGAAAACATAATTTATTTTACACAAAATGTTAAAATCGAAAGCAAAACAAATCACATTCATACATCTAAAAAAAAACACAACCAAGGTGAATAGACGACACACATACAAAAGTGGGCATTATTCACTCACACATACACAATGTACCTTAAAAATGAGGCTTGGCATTGTATGCTGGTTCATTCTAAATAGGTTTTATTGAATATGATATCATTTGTATCCCAAGGAGATTGAAGAATTGCACAATGATATTATTTTACACACAGAGTCATGGACAATTTTATGGAATCATGCCAATCCTGAAATTTAGAATTTAAACTGAGGAGACAGATTTTATAAACAAGGCAGTTAGGGTTAAGGTACAATAATATAGATAAGGTATATTTTATAAGGCTAATAAGTGTATAGATTTCTACTGAGTTAAAGGAAATAAAAGAATGTACCCAAGACAAGACTTTGACTTCAAAAACATACCTTTCATTAAATTACAAAACAGATATTTCAAAGACAACAGCAATTGTGACTGATCACAATCTAATAAAAAAACTTATTTTCATACTAGATTAAGTTAATCAGTAACAAAAATATACTGAAATAAAGACAGTAAAAACGTAAACAAAGGATTTACCTGGCTGGAAGCAGCGTCATTAATTGGCATTTTAACTCATACACCTCTTGCTCGCAATGGCGAAATTTAGGTTCAGGATATTGTTTTTCAATAGAATGACAAGCTACATTTATAAGACTAATAGAACTTTCAATACACATCTGAAAAAGACTACTAGGTTGCCTATGAGGCGCCATTCCGACGCCTTAAAGTACACGCGAATCGCAAAAACTTGTTTTATTTGAGTACAATAAACGCGTTTATTTGTAACTAAATGATAAAAATATTTAAAACGTTTTTTAATAAAGCTAGTTCGTTATTTTACTTTGTTATTGAACTCGCGACTCGCTATTATTTTGCCTTCTATTGATTTCTTAATTTTGTGACAATTGTTTGACAGTAGACCAACGCAGTACAATGAAAATGAAAGAAATGTCAAATGTCATATGTAATTTTTCGTTCAAATGTTCAATCGTCGTTCAATTTCAAAACAGAGTAAAAAGGGTCTCGTGTAGTCTATGGATAAGCGGGATAAACAAAATTATTGAAAAACGAAACGCCTGCATGAGTCGTCCAACCACTGGAATCACTGAGTCGCTAGTGGATGACCGTAGGTGGCTGGTTAATGGCATCTACCTGTGTTAGTGTGAACTGAATTTTTTGATACAATTTTAAAACACCCATTCTTATTTGAAAGTATTTTGCTTAGACGTCGAAAAATAATAAATTAAAAAATTACTTTAGTTCTATTACTTACTACTGATTACTAAATAATACAGCAAGCACCAACAATACATCATAATTCTAGGACTTCATAACTTTACTGTACGTAGGTGCCTACTATTCGAACTGTATTAGTAAGTGCCTACGTGGGTGCTTATTTGCAAGAGGTAGCAAGAGTAGGTACTGTAAATAAAATGTAAAATGTAACATGTAACAATGTAACACCCATTTTTCACTATTTATGTTACAAGTCCCGGTGTTATAGGGGCGAGCCTATTGCCATATACCGGACACAATTCCAGACTCCGTGCTACTACTGAGATTTGTTTTGTTAAACCCAGGTATACTTCACTCGACCCGGGAATCGAACCCGAGACCCCATGCCCGACAGTCGCACTTGCGACCACTCTCCCAACGAGGCGGTCAATATTTGCATGTATTTTATATTTACTGTTTTGGGTAAAGGGTTCTCAACTAAATAAGTACTTGAGAGGAAATCAAATAAATAACTAATACATGTATGTATGTTTTAAATATTTTATTTTTATTTTCATCTTTTCGTATGAGTTTACACCTAAAACTAATAATTTATGATTAATTAAAAATATATAGATATACATTCGTCATAGATATCCAGTTCAATAATATTAAGGAGTGCTTGTTTTTCTGATAAATTAAATAAAAATAAATATAATCACTGACATTCGTGCGAATTCTTTTAGCTACTACGTAGATACCAATATAATTTACATGTTTTAAAAATATTTTCGGAAAACTATACAAAAAAAAAATAATTGAACAGAATTGAAACTATTTATTTATAAATCTGACCTCCAACATTATTTATCGAATAACTAGGAATATTAAACAAATTCGCACGTTTGTTCATACGAATTCAAATAGAAACTGCAGTTTGTTACCTTGCGAATAGGTACACAATAATTCAAGTAATTATTTTTACAAAAAAGAAAACATAGTCAGATACACCTACATTTTTAAAAAGTGTAAAATTGTACCCAGTTGGATGTTCAGTATTATTTTAAATTACAATATGTTTATATTGAAATTCGGATTTCTTATTTTGGTGCAGTTTTTATTTGACTATTATTTTACGGATAGTAGTGTGTGGCGTTCTTTATAGAATTATAGGTGAAAATGTCAGGCTTGTCAAATGTCATTTTTCCCGCCAATAGTATTACAATGAAAAAAATAGGAAGTGCTGTCAAAAAATTAGGAAAGTGTAAACAAAAAAAAAAAATGTCTTTTAGATAAAAAGTCTCAGAACATTTTTTTTAGTATAGGTGTGTTAAGGTTGGGATTCTGGATTTATATTTAGAGTTGTACTCCATGGGATATTTTTACATTTCAATCGAATAGATCAATCTTCACAATTTACACTGTAGGTATCGATATTATTACATATTTTAATAATCTCTCTAGTTTCTTAAACATTTATGGGTTAAAAATTATAATTTATTTATTATCATTACCTAACTTCACATTTTAGTAAAGCATAATTGATACCTAAAATATCTAAGTTTTATTAATATTATCTAAAATCCTTTTGTTACATGTATAATAACACTCTAATTTACAATAATATTCGAATAAATGTTTTTCATACATTATTTACAATAAGAATAACATCTACATAAATTAATTAATTTTAAAAGATTCTACAATAAATAGTTATTTGGCACTAATAGTAATTAAAAATAAATTAAACGGACATTATTAAAATTAAACATTTCATACAACTACCTATCTACTTAGAATTAATATTTCATAAATTAATAGGATTTTTATTATTAAACATTTATTATTTTTATAATAATAATTTAATCTTGTGCTAATCTTTGTTAGGTACACAGCAAAAAATGTAAATAGGTATCTTTGATAAATAATGTTTTTTTTTTATGAATAGACAACATGAAATAAAATCTAATAACATAATTATTTATCAGCATTGGCAACAATATTAATGAATTATAATATAGTACAAATGTAAAATTATTAATTTTCAATTATTATAAAACATGGGTCAATTTAAGAGGTAGGTCAAATTACTGACATAAAGCAGAAATATAGATATAGGTTCGATAAATAATTTCATAAATCTTTTACAACAAAAAAAAGTAAATCAGTATTATACCTGTAGCAATGTAAAGCCAAATTAAATACGTATAACAAGTAAATTTTAATAAAACATTTTGCTTCATTTAATAACAGCTAAGAAATAATTTTATTCTTAAAAATAGATAAATGAAAAGGAACATTATTCGTACATTTTGAAAACATACTAGAAATATATTAATTAATTGATTGATTTAATTTGTGCACCACAAAACAACAAGACTAGAATATAGTTATAATTTAAAACAATATACTAAACAAATATAGGTACTAAACTATTTGCTATACTAAATCTAGAATATCTACATTAGTTTTCTAGATAGATTACGATAGATGGATAGAACTACGATAAAGAGTAGATGAAATAGAAATAGTAGTATAGTTTAACACACACTTGACTATAGACAAATTAGAAGAAAACAATAGAATTTTTTCTGCATTTTATTTTTCAATCTTATACGAGTTTGGTTACAATCTACAAACTAATGTGAGTTTAGAAGTTGAAGAATGCGATAATAACTTTAATACCTATTTTAGAAAAATGTAGCGTTTTTTCCAAATTGTCCAATGCCAAGTATAAACCAGTCATACAATATTCACTCAACACAACACAGTTTACTTATTGTAGTACTAAGAAAATTACATAGTCAAATTCATCGTCAAAAAAAATAATGACGATCAGTAATTGACCGCTGACTGTCAGCTGATCGAATATGTTCGGATTCGCATTCTCTCGTTCGTTATTATCTTTATTTCTAATCTCTCTATCGTTTTGGCCTCCATTCCCTCCGTCCATTCCTTGACGTGCACCATCCTTACCTAAACTATTTTTATTATGATCACTCCCATTTTGATCACTTTTACCCCTATGTAAATCACTTTTACCCTCGTTGAGATCATTCTTACCCTTTCCTAACTCATTCTGATTTACAGTTACCTGAGAATTTTGAGCCGTATCTTGTATCACATTACTTTCATTTGGACCTCTTTGAAAGGCGTCGGACTGGGCGTGTCCGCTCGGCCAAGCGGATCAGAGTCTCTTGTGCGAATCAGTGCTGGCACTCTTGAGGGAGCCGAAGCGGCGCGCGCCTGCGGAGGTGGTCGGGGTGGTCTCTCGGTCCAAGCTCGCAGCTCGGAGGATGAGACCTCGCGATTGGCGGAAGGAGGAGTCGGGTTGTACCTGACGATATTGAAAAATAATTAAGCAAAAAATATTAAACGGTAAACTGTTAAAACAGCAGAGCAGAAGAATAATATTCGAGGGATTTTCGATGATTACATCATATTACTTTAGCACAGAAGTTTATGTAACTTAGCAGTTTAAAGGTCTTACCGGCTCTCCCACAGACCCAACACGTCTCTGCCTCGGCTCCCTCCCGATTCTACTGGTTTGTTCAGTAAAGGAAGTCTCCAAAGACCGCTGTGACGCGTCACTGATGGACTGGGAGAGCAGGTGGGTGGTGGATGAGGAGTTGGAGTCTTCGATGTTCGAGTACTCGTCCGGACTGTCATCTCGCTGAGGGGTGTCTGATTCCTGTAAAAATTGGAGGGACATTAGTATCTAAAAATATGTCTTGTTTTGAACTGTGAAATGATGTTCTAAGTATTCGGTGACCTAATTGCCGTGGGTCGCTAAGTCACCTGCCAAGTGTGACGTGTTCAGCAGAGCACGTAACATTAAGTATTCCAACTGATTACGGAGTGAACCTACTTCTGACTTGACATTGATTTTTTTGAAACTAGCTATTGAAGTATCTTTTATTTTACCTCTTCCAAGTCTCTTAGCGTTGTTGGGTATAGGTGTCTCCTAGCATCTTCTCTCTCCTTTTCTCGTTCCCTCTTCTCCAGTTCATCCGCCAGCATCATAACCTCCCAGTCACCCCCACTTCCAGGTAACGCTGTAATTTAGAGAAAATAGTATCGATTTTTCAAACATCATGCTTACATGATCAGAGAAGTTATAAAAGTATGCAAGTATCGTAGTAGATGAGGCACTGTAGTTTTTGTCTAAGATAGAATGAAAGTACCTATTAGTACTAATGTATGTAGGTAGATTTTTTTCCCTTTATTGTTTTTAAGGGGCCTTTGTCCATATGGATACTTCAACCCCATCATAACTTATATAATTTAATAGCATATACTTAAGTATATATACTGTATGTAAATGGAAGGGAATCATTAACAAGGTCTAGATCGCAGAGAAGTTATGTCACCCTCACCAGTTTACACAACCCTTTTGCAGTCTTCGTCTTAGAATATGCTAAAATATTTTTAACTAGTCCAACATAGATTTAATTTTGTATCCAGCTTAAAACAGTAGAGTGAAGTTTTAAAAGTAGAATTATAAAAATATTCATCAGATAAACTCAAAATAGAAGAATTCAGAATACGTAAGAAAATTACCTCTAATAGGTGACGAGCTGCCATGACTAGAGCTGCTGGCTCGGCCTCTCCTTGAGTTGTTCTCTACAAACTCTTCAAACATCGGCGTACGAGGTAATGATTCTGAATCACTGCTAGACGACGTTGATCCCCTGGAATCAATAAGTGAGTACCTATTACATTAATAGCCTTTTCATAGGAAGATGTTTTTTTTAAGGGTGGATAATCATCGAATGACTGCTCCCGCCTGGGTGAGGCGGGAGGGAGTGTCAGACTCTTACTGACTAAAAACCACCCCGTTCCTTCACCTGCACTTCGAGCCGGAGCCCCGGTTACCTGTTAGGTTCTCCGCGACATAGGAAGAGGTTAACTTCATTCAGTATTATATTCAGTAGTATAATGTAAAATAGTTTTTTTTGTCACTTACGCATCACTCCAGCTGTAGTCACTGCCCATATCGAGCACGACATCGTTGCAGTTGTTCGTAGGCTTTTGAGTTGGGGTCCGGTGGAAGAGGGAACCCAAACTGAACTTCCGATGCTGCCGCGGCCGGCCCTCTGAATAACAGATGCCTTACCATTTCAATAATAATAATAGTTGAAGCATAAATAGTCACATCGTGTAGCCTTTTGGTAGAGAGCCAATCGGTGTAAATTTTGTTAAAGGTGTGATTGTTATCAAATTCAAAAAAGATGATTATTTCGGAATAGATTCAAAAACAGAAGTAAGGTTAGATGATGAATACATATCCAATTTGTTTCTCAGTATTTCCCCAATTAACCACCAATACAGATTTTTTATTGTTTTTACCCGATGATTGGTCAATAATCCGTAACAGAATAATAATTTAGAACAAAAGACTACACGTTTAATAAGAAACATTGCGTATAGCTTACTCCTTTCATTCTTCCCAGTATGATGCATTCCAGTGTCCACTGACAAGGTTTTTTTGATCTTCGACTTCGTGTTGTCAAGGTGTGATCCGAAGAAATGGAAGTGTCTCCTACTGGAGCGCAAGCTGGACTGTTCCGGGCTTAGGAGAGACCGGTCTTCTGAAGTGGTGTGGGGAGAAAGGGGCCTGAAAGACGGAATGCTTCTTAATCTGTAAGTTTGGACTGTTTAGTTTTAAATGTTGATGAATAAAATAGTTAGTACGCTAGCACATTAAATAGGAATAAACACTCAAATAAAAATTTCGACAGAAAGGGACCAAAACTTCGTACTTCGTTTATTAAAAAAAATCAAGTCAAACCTCGTCAAGTCTTGCATCTCCATGCTCTCTTGGTCACTTTGATCTTCCCAAGACTTTCGTTGCTTCAATTTAGCTGCACGTTTTCTCGAATATGTTCCAGCTTTGCCGTCTAAATTCAGATCTAATCTCTTCGATTTGCTGATAGTCCATTGCTCTCTACTCGAAGAAGTCTTATCAGTTCGTGATAGTGAAACGGCTAAGTTTTGTAGTTCTGCGTAACTTAGCTTTGATAGTTCGATTCCTTCTGTTAGTTCTCTAAGGTTTTCTTCAGTGAGGTCGTCGGGAGACAGGGTTTCTTTTGCGCCAGCAGTTTCGTTTTCTGGTGACCTGTCTCTTTCTGCCTCGTCAGCGCTTGCTGTTGGTGGTGATGTTGCGAAAACGGTGTCGAGTGAATCACCCCTCTGTAATATTGAATCTTGATTACTTTATGTTATAATAACGCTTGCTAGGGTCAATGCAATAAAAATTGATCTTATAGCAAAAGCTAAAATATGTAGAAAAGGAATCCAATTTTCTCACCATAAATCCTTCTTCGGCAGCTGAAGCATCTTCACTACCCGAGCTAGCACTCTTAGATATAGGCTGACTGGTAGAAGTAGGTTCTACTGACTCAGGAACTATTGAAGGCACCTCTCCAGATGGTGGTGCAGTTGGGCTCATACCAGAGAGCCCTAACTTTTCTAACTCTTGGATACGTTTTTGGAGTTGACTTATTATTTCATCCCGTTTACGAACCTCGTTTTCTAAACTATTGAACCTAAAAAAGCATAATTAACAAATCTTTGCATGACCTTGAAATAACGACGTCACGAGTGAAATAAACGATAAAGTGCGTTTTTCTAAATTACCAAATAAATGATTACTCACCTTTCCTGAAATTTTCCCTGGACATCATGTAGGTGGCCTTGTATAACTTGTTTGATACCTAACAGTACTTCGCCAAAATATTCCTGTTCCTCAATGGAGCCTGTTAACGAATACAAACCTTTGTCAATTATTGATGATATTTTGAATTAATAATTAAACATTTTAGACAAAATATTTACCTCGCAACAGTTTTCTTTGATTTGCGACCGCTGATATTAAAGTTAGCTTAGGTTTCTCTGAAGGCACTTTAATTTCTTCAGGTCTTAGTGATTTTAAGTCTATCATTGGATCAATATTCTGTTGAAGTTCGTACTCAGCCCTTATGTTCAGCCCATAGTCCGTGGGCGCATTGGGTTCAGCTGATCTTGCGATTTGATTGTTGGGCATTTCTGGTACCGTAACTTCAACATCGGGCGGGGGAGGTGGAGAAATTTGGGGCATCGAACTGATATTCACTTCTGGCATCGTGAAAACATCATCATTTTGATAATCAGCCGGAGCACTTCCAGGCGGCGAGGGTAATGTGTGACGATGGAACGTTACACTCTTAGCAAACTTTGAATGTCTTGCCGCGTATCCTTCCAAAGTCGGAGCACGAATTAATCTCTTTAACTCATTACTACGCTCAGGACTTTCAGCTGGAGTGACATCTTCAGATAGCTTCTTTAAAATAGACTTCAATTCTCTTCGTTCTAAAGTTTCGTTAGACTCATGACTTCGACATGAATCGATAGATTTCCGCTTGAATTTTCTTTTATCCATAGTGCTACCTTCAGAATGACTTCTAGTTAACGTATCACAAAGCAAATCTTCAGACGAACTAGTGCAATCTAAACTAGAACTTCTAATTTTCACAACTTTTTCTAGTTCTGCTAATTTCTGTCGTTCATTTAAGATTTTTAGCTTTTTGACGAACGGTAGTCCGCCGTACTCTGGCGATAAATCATCTATTGACCTATATTTTTTAACTTTGGGTAACAACATTCCCGGTGACATATGTGTCTTAGTTTCAGCTGGCTTTGTAACATTATTAACATTTTTCTTGGGAGATAAAGTTAATAAATCTAATGATTTCTCTTGGACGGGTTCCAAAGGGCCTGTTAAGCAAAGCTTAGGTTTATCTTTATCATTATCACTAGCAACTTCAACATTATTATTGTCTATTTTAACAAGCTCCGCTGTGGTTACTATAGGCACACATATATTTACAACTGCCTCCGCTATACCTTCATCTTTTTTCTCACTACTCGTATTTATACTTTCATCTTTCTTTTCATCTAAACTACTTTTGCTTTGGCTTTTTGATTCCCCTAGTATGGCTGCTTTCTTAAGTTTAGTCCAAGGCTTTTTATTTTTTGGTTCTTCTTTAGCCTCAGTTGTTGGTAACGGACTTATCTCTACTGGAGCTTTTTCTAATGAAGCTGATTTAGCCTTTTCTGTTGATGCATTATCAGTGTCCTTTGGTCCACTTTGTAATAATTTCAATTTATCTCGGAACGTAGTACCTACAGCTTTTGCTGGGGATTTAATTTTACTGACAACGGAGTGCGGTATTGAAATTAAGTTGCTTTCTGTTTTTGGTGTAGGTTCTACGACCGCAGCAGGCTTTTCACTGGTATCTTTATTTAGTGGTTGACATACAGCTGTACCATCACTCTGAACTTGTAATATTTTGTCTCTAAAACTAACTTTGGGACGAGATGTTCCATCACTTGATCCAGACGAATTTTTCCTGGATGTTTTCGTGGTTGGGCTTTGAAGTTTGCCCGGGGAGCTGGATTCTGAACCTTTTCTGATTGGACTAAGAGTCTTTATTGTGGGACTCAATGGACTTTTGATAGAAGTGGGGCTAATCGTGTCGGAACTGGAGGGCTGATTGCTCATAGTGGGAGTGAGTTGGTTCTTGTCTCTTTCCTCTTTTGCTTTAAGTAAGAGCAATCTTTGTATCAAAGGAAGACCAGCTCCAATAACTTCTGGTTCAGCATCTGGTGCTGAACTAGTCGAAGGAGTTGGTTGTGGTGTCAAAGATAAAACTGAAGAGGTAGAATGCCTTTGTTTGGCTACTTTTTCTTCACGATCCTGGAAAGAAATCAAATTCTTAGATTTGACTCAAAGGCTCAATACATGTGTCAGGAGATATTGTCGATATTTACCTGTTTTTCTTTAAGTAGTTTTAATCGTGATAGTAATGGAAGACCGGCTCCTATTGGTGATATACATTTCTCACCATCTTTGCTACCAGATGTTGTTTCTCCATTGTTATCCTGTACAGCAGAAAATAGTTACATTGTATTTTATTTATTACGTTAATAGTGATCTATTGGCAAAATGTGGATTATGGGATAAAAGAAATTTTACATCTTGATTATGCGGATGAGCCGAATCATCACTTTCGACTCTTGGCATTCTTCTTAGAACCTTTCCTTCTGCAGTGCCAGCCCTCTCAGCTCCAGCTAACGCTTGTAGTTCTAATGACTCTCCAGATCTACGTCCAGCGCGAGATCTGCTTCGGATTGCATTGCGAATGCCCTGTTAACAGGCGAACAAATCAATCAGTGCTCTGGTCTAGCGTTTTTCATATGCTCAAATATTCAAATAACAGACAATAAGATCTCATCTGATAAATTGTGCTCCTGTGCAATATTTTTCCAAGTGACAAGAAAAGTCAGTGTAACTTTGAATTTGAGAAGCTTAGCCCTCTTTTTGGGACTAAAATGTGTCCATTTATGTTTTAGTCTGACTGAAAGTATCCCACAGTAGTGTAACAGTTAATTTAGAAACTGTCACAGCAAATTAACTCCAGCGGAATGTATTGCTATCAGAATCCAGTATCAGGTCTATTCATTACACGACCGTGTTTGTTTTCAAATTATGGTTTCCGAATTGTAATGGCTTAGTCCGTAAATTGCGACTAATTGTGTCTGAAGTTATCATGTTGGGGTACAATATTATAATATTATAGTTTATGTTGTCTTTAATATAAACCTTGTAGGGTGAATGGTTGGAAAATATGATGCTATTTATGAGGAAAAGTGTCTTTTTATTGTAAAGCAAACAATTGTTGGGATTTTTTTTTATAAAAATATTCACAAAACAATATATATATAGATACTAGGCAGTGTATGAAAACTAATAGTCCGTCAGTTAGATATTGAAAAAATATTAGACACATATTTTTTTAATTTTGTCTTATAAGAAAACTCTACAGAGATAAAACAGAGTTAAGTTTAGAAGTTGGAGGTCGTTACGTCACGCTACACTTCTTACCTTCCTTTCACTACCCTACTTTAAATCGTGATGTCACACGATATTTGAAATCAATATATCGTCGAAAGTATTTATTTTTATAAAAAAAGAAAAAACTTGTGTCTAATGTTTAAAACATTATAATATCTATATAGTAATCTACCAGACGGCTATTAAAATAAAATTTAGGATACTACCCTATTAGTATTAATTTCGATGTTCACTTTTGGTTTAATAATTCGTAGTAATTGTTTACAGAATACGGAACAGAAGTCAAGTGTGTTTAATTTCGAAATGAGCTCTTTCGCTTTGCTTGAGCTTCGCTATCGAATCACTATGTTACAGAATTGTACACCTACTTGGATGTTTTGTAACACTTTAAGGGACGTTTGATAGGTGCACATAGCTTCACTATTTATAAAATCGATAGCCATTATAAGTTTAACAGCGATGTTTACCTTAACGTCGCTCCGAAGCTTGTGTACGATCCTTTTAGATGCACTGTCGTCGCCAGACATCTTGTCGGGACTTATTTCACCTAGAACAGACAGGTTAATTAATATTTACCTTTGGCTACATTCTTAACATATTTTATTAGCAAATTTTTAAGCGGTGAGAAACAACACATTAGGATTTGTAGGCAAAAATTCACATTACTTCGCCTTAATTTGTCTCTGATTTTGATGTTTGTTTCTTGGATGAAGCAAAGCGTTATTTATTTTTTTGTTAGTCAGTCCGTCAGTCAATATTTCTGTCTGTTTATCCCTTTGGGGAAACCAGACGTGATCGAGTGTTGCCCTCGTAATTAATTTCAGGAGGATCAAAATGGCATGCCTATTTATAGTTTTCTGTTTTTTTTTGCTGTGGTATTTTAAGCATTTGGCTTTTGATTTTCGCCATCACGTGCATTAATGAAACTATTTTTTAACGTATATTTTCTTGACTTTTCAAATACTATGGTTTTGGCTATTTTATCGAGAATATTTCTATGCAATACTATCGAGTTATTCTTCGATATGTTTAATTATTACATTTGAAATGTCAAGAAAACAGAATACCTGTTTTCGAAATGTTTAAAAAGTAGTTTCATAATATTTCATTCCACCATCTACTATTCGTTTGTTTGCTCTCACCTTTTAAATTCTTCGTTATTGTTTTAGCGTCTGGTCTGGGCTTGCGTCCTAAAGTTTTTAATGTTTGCCTTATTTACGAAATTTTCAATGAGGGTTTTCGTGTTTGCGTTGTATAGATGGCGCTTGTGACGCATAAAGGCCGTTATCGATAACAGAATTGACGAACATTTTGATATTGTTTATTACCAAATTATTTTGTATCATGTCTAAGGACCTTATGCTACACTAGCACCTCTATAATGACACGAAAACACTCATTGTCTTAGAATTTAAAAATGTATTTATGGTAGAGATTTAATATGTCCTTCCTCCTACTGAGAAATAATTCATGGGTCATTGAAGGATCTTTATATTATTAGTAAGTTTATGTTTACCTGCGCCTTTTTTGACCTTTCAATTTGACCTTATGGGTTGAAGGTCTTCACTAATTTGATTAAAATGGATTTTGGTTTTACCTTTGCATTTTTTGGACATATTTTTAGCTTCTTGTAGGCGTTTTCTTCCTAGGGTTTGTAGGATTTCCTGGGCTTCGGGGTAGTCCTTCATAGCTGCGAGAACATCTTCGCGAGATAAGGAGAATAATTCGGAATAGCCGACTGATCGGACGTCTGCAGTTCGTCTAAAAAGTAGTGTATTGTTCTAGTTTTGTATTCAATTGTAAAATGGTACATAGATTTTAAAATATAACGTCAATATTTGCAATTGGACGATGAATAAATTTAGTATTGGTTTACAAAACGAAGAAAGGCTAATACTATTTTAAGTAATTCCGTAAAATGTATTTAAATATTCATAGACGTAAATTTCAACATAAACTAGGATATTCAAATAAGTTTGAAGGCAAGCAATATGATTCCAGGAATGAATTCCACTCCTTAGCTAAACTTAAATGGTATAAAACTGTGGATACGCTAAGAAACAAATGTCGCAAGCTTGCCGACCTCGCCTGACTTATATGGCGACAACGCGCGAGGAGGAGACCTGTGTCACGCTGTGTTGCCAGACATATCGGGCGAGGTCTGGCAACGTCGTGCTACCTCACCCAACATCGCTGGCGACACGTGTCGCAGAACATTTGTCCCTTAGTGTATCCTTGGCTTAAGTCTATGAATATTCTCCTCTCCATTAAAGTTCTAATTCAATAAACTTGTGTAACGATGTATTCACTGACGATAATTGTGCCTTACTTGTTCAATCCGTCGAGGTTTAGTATTCCAATTTCTCCGAAGAAGTCGCCTGCCTTCATAGTAGTGAGTACTCTCCCTTGTTCCGATATTACTTCCAATATGCCATCTGCTATAATAAACATTTCACGAGCCACTTCACCTGGATTGGAGTAAATACAAAAAATAATGTAATTGAAATATATTTCATTACCTACTTTTAATTTGGGCAAATACGCTACAGTTAAACGTATTAATTAGTATCCCATAAAAACCAATTAAAATTATAATCGATTAAATTTTTATATCGTTTTTAATATGGTTAACACTATTTTTCAAGTTTAAGTTTTAGAATTACATTTTTAAAACAGTCCTTATAGACAAATCAAAATTAAATATTAAAATTTTAAATTTAAATATTAAATGTTTGTGAGACATACTAAATTAATTATTATGTTTACGGCCTATTCACGTAACTGTTTGTCGAGGAACTCGACTAGTTTCAAGCTGTTTTAGAGGCTCATATTCACGCGGAATGCTGCTCATGAATGTAAGCCGAAAATAGAATAATTAAAACATGTATTTTTTTATTGAGTCTACTAGAGGAGGTAAGTATACATAAAATTATGCTTATTTTATCACGGTCAAATAAAAATCCATATTAATAAACCTCGTGCCACCACTCTAGCAAAAACAAATTCGGGAATTAGTCCCAAAACTTGAATATAAATTGAATTTGTGGGAACACCAACTTAGTTAGCGTTGATGACATTTTAATATCGAAAATTGTTTTCGAACAAATAAATGTCCTTCAACTATTGGATGCCAGTGATTTCCATTATTCGATTCATCATCAACAGCTTATAAATGCCCACTGCTGAGCAAAGCCTCTTCTCATACGGAGAAGGTTTGAGCATTAATCACCACGCTTGCTCAATTCGGGTTGACTTATAATTAGAAATTATAAGCCCAGGTTTCCTCACGATGTTTTCCTTCACCGCTTGTCAGTGGTGTCTAGATAATCTTAGAAAGTACATTTAACTCGGCAAAAGTCACATTGGTACTTGCTGATGCTTGCCTCATGCTTGAGAAGCGGGCCTTTAAACCTCCGGGCCACAACGACACTTATTCGATTATATACATGTAAAGAAATAAGATTGAGTTTGTTTTGCATAGTGACCACAGAATTAAACATCATGTAGATGTTCTAACTGTCTAGACATCGTTATAGTGCGGTGGGTGAATAATGGGGCAGTCACTAGTTTTCTTGTTTAATAGGTATCTGGTTTTAATTCACTAATTCACATACTTCATTAAACTCCGTCTATACACTTTTGTTTTTATACTCCATTGTAAGCAAGGACCTTGAAAAAAGGCGGTCTTATTGTCATTTACAAATGATTGAAGCACCGAAATGTCAGCGGTATTTATGTGTGCGTGTACTTGCAACATCGTATAATGTATGTGTAATTACAGGTCATGTCACGTGATAGATGTCCTTTGCATCAATGTGCGTGTAAGTCTATAGTAGCCAGGTGCCACGGTCGTTGTTTCAAGAGACTATTGCTGGAATACTGAAACGCTACTCAATTTTAAGTCGTGCTTAAGTATAGTTCCATCTCTACAAATTCTTTGTAAAATGACAGAGATGGCACGATATTTGAGCACGACTTAAAATTGAGAAACATTTCAGTATATCGGCATATATCGGCATATGTCCGCCTTTTCTTCAACATTCTTGGTTGTAAGTTGTAAGCAAGTTGATTTTACGACTCACCTTTTCTACAAATGGAATCTCCGGGAGTGAATATGTATGCTTTCATTTTTAAAACGAGGTCGTGAAGGAACTCTGGTTGGCACTCTTGGAATATTGTTACCTGTAATAAGGGTGTAAGTTACAAGTTTGTATGTCATGCTATTTCGTGTTTTACGCAAAGGAATAGAGGTCATTTTTGGATAACGATTTTGAGTACAGAGGTGGGTAAGATTGGAGAAACGATTGATGAGTCTATTAAAGGGTTTTTGGCGATAAAACGTATTGGAAAATGGTGAGGTTAAGTAGAAATAGAAAAAATCCTAGTCAGAAAAAGAGTTACCTATCGAATTTTTCACAGGAATTTGACCTTTTATGTATGTAAACTCGTTTTTAATTTCATAGAGCTAATAACGCTGAATCGCACTAAATTTTTATGAACCTTTGCAGTTAAATAAAGATGACAAAATAACGTAAAATTAAAGCAAATTAACCATTATCTAAACAGAAATAAGGTGTTAGTAGAGGAAGCTGAACTGATGAGGAAATTTACGATTTATTTCGGTAGGTTTTACGAGGGGCCCCGTTTCATAGCGGCCTGAAAATAAAAGACCCGTAGAATATCTGCCCTACAGAGTGATATGAAGTCAACTGCGGGATATAGGTCAACCCTCGTTTGTAGGTAGCTAACAACTTCTCTCTATAATTAGAGTTTTATTTGTTGAGATTACGAGATTATTCATGATTGTGTTGATGGGTGCAATGTTGAATGAATAAGTTTAAATTTTGAATTTCTTGTTCATTTTGGTGTTGGACATTTCACTTTAAAGGTTTCGTTAAAGTCTTCATGTCATACTTTTTAACACCATAGTTTATTAATGATAACTTTGTTAAAGTTAAATAAATAATGTGTACTTGAACCAAACAATGAGGGATATATTTTATGTGCTTTCAGCGTAGTTATTCTAACACGCGTGGTATATGATAATGATTTTAAAAACACAGTGGCATTAAGTGCGCAAATGCGCACCTCTGCCAACTCCTTCTGGGATAAAAAGGCGTGATGCTATGTGATGTTATATTCTTTAAAAACACACCTCATGTGTTTAAAAAAGTGATGGTAAAAGCTACAAACAAAACCAAAGCAATGGATTGGAAAATTGTTACCACAGAGCAAAAAAACACTCCGTATATAATAACACTTACCTTCTTCAGAACACTCAAATTGACGTGCAAAGCAAGTTCTGTCTTCAGTTTATCCGGGAGCAAGCCCAAGGCTGTATTTATGTCCCCGCCCCCTTGAATCCGACCCCGGGACCAAGAGTAATCGTACCATCGCAGCACACGCCGTTTCATACCACCTGGCACCTGCAAAATATATCACATCGTTTTGCAAAACGGAATTTTTCGCTCCAGCGCCCTTTGGTGTTCATTGTCGGAGTATTAGGGAAGATACGGGTTTTGAGCTGAATGTTAATTTTCGGAATTTTCATTGGGTTAGGTACTGTCTTTTTTTTCTTTTTGTTAAGTAAGGAATTCAGCTTAGTGTTAAGGTGCTCCCACACACAGCAGTTACATGACATTATACCATAAAAGTCAAAAGTCAAAAATCATTTATTTCAATTAGACCAGGAAGGCACTTTTGAACGTCAGCAATAGAAATTTAAAAGTGAAGCTATTTGCTCATTCCAAGGAGTAGATTCCTATGGAGAAGAACGAGCAAGAAACTCCATAGGTTACTCTTTTCCAATCAGTTTCACAATACAATTCTTTAGTTACACAGTTTTATTGGTTTGATTGTGCGAGAACAATGTAACACCAAATCTAGCCAAAGAGATCGAAAAAGAAAATAACCCTTAAAGACAATAAATAATACAGTCTGGAGCTGACCAGTCACAGTTGACGGCGCCCGTTCACGAACATGACACGTACACCAGCACCGCCCAACTCAACCATGTTGCAGGGAATCTAGCGACCCAATGCACGTGCCACCGCCAATGAGATCTTTGAGTGAACATGACAACTCCAAGCTGACATAAATGCATTCTACTAGTCCATAATGTGTAACACAATAACATTTATAATAGCGTGTAACATTTTCTTGTTAATTTTTTTAATGTTTCTTTTTTAAACTTGATTAGGATTGTGATTTATTTGATTAAGAGCCTTAATTTTTTTTAATGGCAAATCGTTGAATTACTTCTCCCGCCTGAATGACGCGGGTGAAGCTGTGAGACCTTAAATTTTGCCCCCCCCCCCGCACTAGGATTTTTTCCTGTATCGTGGGGGCGTTCACAAACATACAATTTCACATACACATAATACCCAAACCCGAAACAACTATTTGTGGATCACACAAACATCTGCTCCGTGCGGGAATCTAATCCGTTACACGTTGCGAGACAGCCGGTTGCCCAGCGCGTCAACCGTGCAGTCTAACAAATTCTACTACGATTTTTGTTATAATTTGTTTAAAAACAAATGTTAAGTCAGTCTCTAACGTTATATAACTGCTGCGTGGGCGCACCTTTCTGTAAAAGGTTTTATTTCTATTGTTTTTCATTATTATGTTACAACTTTTTGAAATGAATGGAACCTTATTGCATTTTCTGTAAGTTTCATTAATTAGTTCAATAATTCTAAGACACCAATGTAAACAACATCGTTACTTAAGTATTTCCTAGCAATAAGGTTCATTTTCCCAAATCAACTCTAGTTCGTACAACTGTCTTACCTTATGATGTCTCATGTAAGTTTTGGCGCCGTCTAGAAGTCTCTCGAACTCGAGTCTGTTCGCGTTCCTATTTGTGATGACATTGCCGACCTGCCCCACTATAGTGGCGAATATGAACACGCCAATCAGATAGCTCACTATTGTGAATACGTACCTAAGGAGAAACATCAAACATTTACATTTTAAAGGCACAAAGAAATGTAATTGAGAACAGATTATTAGTAGCGCAATGTTAGACACTATTGAGGTGTACAAAAATCAAAGCTACACTGAAAACACAAAACTACTCAATAAAACATCAACTAAAACAACATAAAATACAAACAGTGCAAAGTTTTCGAACAGTTGCGATAATACAAAACACCCCAAAAGCAATAATAACGGACAAAACAAGCGACACGGTCACAAAATGGCGGAATCAGTGAAGGCTGTTCGAAAACTTTCTAAACCCGTTGTACGACATCGATGAGTGATTTAATAAATAAAAGTAACAAATAAAATAAAGAACAGTTAATGATGAAGTAACTAGTCACATTTATAGTCGTCCGTAGTTTGTCGCTGTGAAGCGAACAGCCTCCAAATTTCTGCCGCCGCCATTTTTATTTTTATTACGCTCCACACTGGCTGTTTTCTTCCAACAAAATGTTCGAGACAGTGTTTATGCCGAATTAATGAACGGGGAAATTTATATGTACTGTCGTATAAAGTACGAGGAAATTACAAACCATTGCTCCTTCTAGTGTTCTGATCAAATGTCTCTTTATTTCCGAGACTAAGCGATTCTTTCATACTCTGTTTGTTCTCCAAAAACCTTCATAAATACCTTGGATTTCTAATAAATTTTATTGTGCTTTGCAAATAATTGTGTGCGAAAACTGTAGGTATACTTCCTACCGCATAGTGGTAAAGCTGTAAAATCCTTTCCGTGCAATAAAACGCGTTATTGCGTATGTTCAACGGTGCAATAAGAGCCGCTATGATGTTTTTATTTCCGCCCGTGTTGCCAATAAAATATGGGCTATATTCGCATGCAGTAAACACTGTCCACAGAACATCGTGTTGTAAGAAACTTTTTAAAGTTTATATATAAAATGGTGGTGTAATTTATATAATGTGTTTACGTTTTACGAAAGCCTACGATTGGTCAGATCATAACGATGTTTAATAAATGTATCATTTCCATTACATTACCATAACTGCCTTGTTATGCTAGTGAAGGGAATTAGGTAACCAAAATACCTACGACTTGTAAATGAATCTCCGAAATATTTTCAAGGCTATGTAAACATTTTGGTCCTTGACATAATTAAGTAAGTACTTCTTAACATTGTTCAGTTTTTATTAAGAGTTATTCAAAGTAAAACAAATTTAAAGTCTTTTTGCGTAAATTGTAATCTAAACTATAATTGTTAAGGGAAACAGTAGGCCCAATGTGTTATTTTTTAAAACGTTGCCCCACTCTTAGATTATCTCCTGTGTCGTGGGTACGTTTATAAACATACACATGACAGACCCATATAATACAGAATGTGTATTATATTAGGTAAAGTGTAAAAAAGCGTAAAATGTAATGTATTGATTATGTACAAGTAAAAACATTTCTTCAATTTTCTTACTGTAATACCACAAATAACTATATTTTGTGCGCCTGTTCGTAATACTAGCCAGAACTGATACAGTAATATTTTCTGAAGACAAAATTAATTGGAAGCTTAATCTAAGTCGCGGCTCAGTTCTTCTTGCAAAAGGATATCCTTTGTATCAAGAAAAATTAATAAATATTGTTAAAATGATGAAGTTCATACAAAACAATTTATGTTTCGCCCACTGGACGTTAAAAGTTAAATAAACTCGACACTTATTAACTATAAGAAATCTTGAGACGCAATGGTTGTTTTTTTTTATTATTGCAACAATACACAATTTATATTATAGCTTTCGTGAGTCATACTAAATAATTTGTTATATTTTTATGAAAACATAATAATTAATTACACAATTTAATAAGAAACCTTTTATTCTCCAGTAAAGTGAATTCTTGATTCTACCAAAAATGACAATGACAACAAAAAAAAGTTTTTATTCAATAAACCAAAACTCTTTTGTCAATAAAAAGTCTAGAGCAATGACACTGGTATAAAACTTTTCCGAAATAAATTGGAACGCAACGGTTCGAAATTTAAATTTAACAAAACAACATTTGACTGAATTCGAAATTCAAATCTCGGTAGCACGAACGAAAGTTAGCAGAGCGTTTGATATTCGAATTTGACGTGAAAACTCTTCTATGGAAAATTAGACATGCCACAAATTGGCGACTGTTTTTGAACCAATCTTTGGACAAATCTAAGTGAAGTATGAAGGCACTGTGTCCAATGTTGGTGCCAATGTGTGAGATGTATTAGAGTGTCGGCTAACGTCAACACTCGAGAGGTATTCGCGTAATTAAAGCTAGCTTTCTAACAAGGCTGAATGGGGAACACCACAACACACCGGGCAGACCCGTGTTTTGTTTTCGGTCTCACTTACGACGTTCCATGGAATTCCATTTTAGAAAATAAGAACATTCTGCGGTATTCGGTTGTGTAATCGGCCGTTCTATCGATTCTCGTGAGTCGGCTGAGGATTTTAGCCAGATTAATTCTGTTTTTGGCCAGCACTTCTTTCGGCTTGCGAAATTACCTTTTGTTATTCTGTTTTCGGATTATGTTGTTTACGTTCCGTCTTCCACGGCGTCGATTTTTTTTTTCGTAAATATTAAACCGTTTTTTCGGAGTCTTTTTTTAGTCTGTGGTTTTTATTACTATAGGTGCATACAATGTTTATAACTAGACTAACGTACTTGGTTTAAAGGAGCTTAAATAAATAATGTAATGTTCCATATTGGTAAATAAATTATGGTTCACATTTTATTAAAATCACAGTGTAAAAAATTCGTAGTAACATTATTTTAGTCGTCTTTATGTATTTCCATTAAAACGCATCGTTATTTATAAACAAAGCCTAAAAGCCATAATATTTTATGACCCTCGAACTATTTAACTCCATTTAAATGCAATGTCTGTAGAAAAACAAATATATGAAATCCTCCAGCTTTCAAACAAATACATACATTGGATAAAACAATTTTCCACTACAACGGATCGTGAACTAATTCAAACTTGTATTGAAGTCAGAAAACATTAGTGTTGTGATATTTTGAAAATAACTTCTGTACCCATTCATGAGATATTTAGTTATTTTTCTTGTATTTTCTATTATGTCAAGCGACAGAAAGCTATGAGTGAGAATTTTCTTGTGATTAATTTATTTTGTTTACTCGTCTTAACCCGTCGAGCGTCCGCGTTCCTTATCCTTATACATGCAAGAAAATGCATTTATTGGCCATTGGTACACGAAAACAAGGATCATTACAATAGAAATAAAACAAATACAGTCAAAATAAAAACAAAACATTAATAGGTAATAGAATTTATAAAAGAGAAAGCAGCATGGAGCATTTTTTCTTATGATCCACCGGGTGCTCATAAGGACGCTCGAGGGGTTAATTGGCCACTTTAATTTTGAATTTAGAAATTTGAGTGCATCACTGGCCAAGTAGTCACGGTGCAAGAGAGTCGACTTAAGAAAAATGTTTTTGGGGTAATTTAATAATTACGAAAATTTATTTTAGAATATGTGACTAAAAACCATCCCGTTCCTATTTCAATAGCCTTTTCAATGTGTACCTTTCTCTACCTATCTCTTTTGATAATAATAGAAGGCTTAACGTATATATACAATTCTTTTGAAAAATAAACTTGAACTGAAGAAATTGAATCCTAAATCTCTTCACTCTAAGATCTAAATGCGTCTAATGGTGCAAAATAAATGATTTTACTTTTCGAAATGTCAAGAACACTATCTACTTGAGGCCGTCAGATAATAAATATCTAGAAGATTCCATTTTTAAATTGCAAACAGAGGTTTAATACCTTTTTCAAATAGATCCCTTCTGTAGGTATTCTATATTCCGTGGATCTCTATAATACCCATTATACCTGGTCTATTCAGTTTGTAATCCGCTATAGAACGCATCAAGGAGTTTTTATTTTTAAAATCGTTTTAAAGTTTCGAGAAACGTTCTTTTATTTATTTATTTATTTATTAATTTATGTACACACATTCAACACAGAGGACAATACATAATAAAAAACAGAGTACATAGGCCCCACATACTTTCTTTTGTACTTTAAATAGTGTCGGTCGCGGTTTTCATTTCATTATTTTATGATTATATGAAAAGTGAGGATAACGTGTCATGTGTCGTGTGAAAAAGTCAAAAGTGACAGTTTATTAGTTAAGTAAAGTGCATTATATTATAACTTTCGAGAGACATATGAAATTAATTATTATGTTCTCCGGTTTATTCACGTATTTGACGAGAAATTCGGCTCGAGTCCATAACATGAATGATATCTCGGCTTAAAGCAATGACAAATATTCTTTTCTCTTTTTCTTTATAAAAAAATCGTGCCCACATTAAGATTTTCTCCTGTGTCGTAGGTGCGTTTACAAACATACAAGTTCACATACACATTGACACCCAGACCCGGAACAACAATTTGTGGATCATACAAAGTGTTGTTCCGTGCGGGAATCGAACCCGCGACACGTTGCACGGCAGCCGGTTGCCCAGCCACCGCACCAACCGTGCAGTCTAATCAGTAATAATTCTTAATTAATAAGTCTAAATAAAAAAAAGTCTAAATATATAATTAAATAAGGTTTTTAATCAACACGTTGGCAATGACAAAGAGATTATGAATGAAGTTAGAACTTAGCGCTTACGTTCAAGTTGTTGACGTTTTAATAGCTAAGTTAGGACTTAAGAACCGTCACTTAATGGGTAAGAACTTTGGAGTACTTAAATGTAGTGGTTTGGTTGTAATTATATAAACTTGTTATTATTTACTAGTAGACGCGACTTCGCCCGCGTGGAATAGTGACTTTGGATAGTTCTTCACAGCTCCTGT